TGTTGTTGTTTTTTTTTTGAAAGGGCTGGATGGGTTGAATGCTGGACGGTCCCGAGTGTTGTGTTTACAATTGACTACTCATGGCACCCAATTTATCCTCAAAAGGCAGATGAGCAGTTAAAACAATCCTGTAAGTGTCACTACATTTTTTTTCTTGTTAGCACGTTTCATTTCAGGAACTGCTGTGACTTTGTTGGAACAAAATACTTATATTTGCAGAAATGAATTTTGAACTGAACTGCTATTTTATATCACATGGGAAAATGCCAATCTTTAGAATGCACCAGGTTTGATTGAAAAACTGACAACATTTTGTGATACAAAACTTCAGAAAGTGTCCCAGTTCCCTGTGTAAAAAGAGGATACTGTCTGTAATTCATCTCTCCTTGTCCTTAACAAAGTGGATCTCTTAAATGGGTTGTTGTGTAACATAAAATATCACGTGGAATATTAAATACAAAGTACAATATTTTTGGCAGTATTATGTTCCTTAGCCTTTCCAAGCTTTTTTCCTTTGGATGTTGTGATGTTGTCTTATGATTTAAATGTTTAAGTACACTATATATGAGACAAAATAACATTGTCTCACCTTTATGGATATGAAACTGAGATTTCATTGTAGCACTGTTGAAGTGAACCACAGCCATCAGATATGAGTGTTAGACTGGTCTGTGTATCACTAATTTCTAAATAAGAATTTTTAAGTTTTAAATGTCTAAACAAGAAATATTCTGTAAGTATGTGCTTGCAAAAAAAGTTATAAAATGCTTAATTTTAATCTCTGAGTTTATTTTAAATGCAGAGGGAGGTATGCAGGAAGCTATGGGGTTACATAAAAGTCTTCCAGGTTGAGATGGTGGAAGCAGAACCGATGAAGGAGAGGTATTAGAAGAATAATGAGGGCTAATTTGAATGGGCCTCAAGCAGCAGGTGTTTAAAGACATGCTGGGTAGGGTTTTTAGGTTTTGAGTTCCAATAATTCAAATCTAAAAGAACTCCCATTTTAGAGGACGAAGCAGAAAAAGTGAGATTCGTCTGGCAGATGTTCATTAGGTGCTCTTGTAAGACTGTCAGCTTGTGTCAAATTTGCATACTTCAAATTTGAAAACATTTACTCGTAATCGTAGCAATTGAACCTGTATTTGAAAGCTTGTACATACTGTTGTGGTTTAACACCAGCCGGCAGCTAAGCACCACACAGCCGCTCGCTCGCTCCCCCCCGGTGGGATGGGGGAGAGAATTGGAAAAGTGAGAAAACTTGCGGGTTGAAATAAAGGCAGTTTAATAGGTAAAGCAAAAGCCGCGCACGCAAGCAAAGCAAAACAAGGAATTCATTCACTACTTCCCACCGGCAGGCAGGTGTTCACCATCTCCAGGAAAGCAGGGCTCCATCACACGTAATGGTTACTTGGGAAGACAAACGCCATCACTCCGAATGTCCCCCCTTCCTCCTTCTTCCCCCGGTTTATATGCCAAGCACAACATCATATGGTATGGAACGTCCCTTGGGTCAGTTGGGGGCAGCTGTGCCCCCTCCCAGCTTCTTGTACCCCCAGCCTGCTCGCTGGTGGGGTGGGGTGAGAGGCAGAAAAGGCCTGGACTCTGTGTAAGCCCAGCTCAGCAGTAACGAAACCATCCCTGTGTTATCAACCCTGTTTTCAGCACAAATCCAAAACACAGCCCCATACCAGCTTCTATGAAGAAAATTACCCCAGCCAAACCCAGCACACATACACAGGTAATTTCATCTGCAGCTTCCTTCAATGAATAATGCAGCACAGTCCAGCTCACTTCTAATCTGTAATGCTGACAGAATGTGTTTGGTACAGTACCGACATCTGTATTTTCTTTTGAGTCAATCGATCAAACTCTTGAGAAATAAATATGTCGCATAACAAGAGATGCAGCTTCCAAAAAAGTGGTCATCCACTGCGGCATGTAGCGAATTTATAACACATAATGTAATGCAATATATTATAATACAAGCACTGAGCAAGCAGTGTGGACAGTAATGGTAAGTTGAAGCCTTGAAGGTTTGCTGGCTACAGGTGTGTATTCGCTGTAGTTCTGTATGTGCCGCATCTTCCAGTTAAACTGGTACCTGAAATCTTACTCCATCTGGAGCATCAATTTTATATGGTTTTCCCATACAGTTCTTCTCAGCAATCGCTTTACATCCCCAAAGCACTTCAGTTACTCACTTCCTTCTCGTCACCTTTCCTCACTTAAAAAAGACAAAGCGCTTTCTTTTCCCTCACTCCAAATAAAAAGAAAGGACAGGAAAAAATATTTGAATTTCCAAACTGTTTTGTGACTAGAGCAATTGAGTTGTTTGAGAGGAAATTTTGGCCTACAGAGCTACCGGTTCAGAATGGGGTTTAATGTAACTTTTGCAATTTTCCTGTTTACTTACTTTTGTTTATTCTGCAATAGCTGTGTGGTTGTGGGAAATCTGCTACACTGAAGAGAAAGCATGTCTTTGTTTAACTTGAAAAGCAAGATAAATAAATTGAATTTTTTTTTCAGAACTTAAAGGACTGTTTTTCTCTTGCATAATTAACATTGACTAAAATTTTCGATATTTTTCCTGTCTTCCCATAGTTACTAGATAGGAGAAACCAGTTCTGTAGTGTAGACATATAATTATACAGTCCCTATTAGAACGCTGCAAAAAGTTGTATATTTAATGCACAACCTTATTTGCAGAACTTTCTTTGTTAGAAGCCTAACTTGTAATAAAAAAATCTGTTTTCTTCTTTATTTGGCTCCAAAGTGTCAGAAATGGAAGAAACAATGTTATCTGTGCTAAGGCCATCGCAGAAAACAGCCGACAGTGTGATTTCATCTCCCACAGCATCAACCCGCCTTCCCCTGGACCCCTCCGAGCTGCCCCCGGATAAGCTCCATGTGGAACTGGAACTCTCCCCGGATTCCCAGATAACCCTCTATGGGCCCCTGCTCAAAGCCTTTCTGTCCATAAAGGTAGGCAGAGGAACACAACTCTTAAAATTTAGGGATGGCCACATGTAGGAAAGGAAAATAATTAGTTTGAAATGGAAAATTAGAATTCTGCACTATACGTGAATTTAGATGAAAACTTTTTGTAAGTACTAGTTTGGAATGGCTTTGCTTGGCAATATGGTGTAGCTGGGATGAATTCAGTTGGCACAGGCTTATGAGAAGACTTCCAATATATATATGTAGACCCATATCAGCATAATTTTCCTTTCAAGGAATAGTATATGCTTTGGACTTCGCGTTCAGAACGTTTTCTTCTTTGACTTTTGCAGTTAAAAAAAAAAAAATTAATTATTATGACTAGAGCTTATATTAACAACCACTTTTATGCAAAGATGTATCAGAACTCATGCTTTTAGTGCATTTTAAGTTCTGCAGAGTGTTCTAATTGTTTTTGTTTTAATTAGAATCTGTGAAATTTCTGGAGTTAGGGTCATGGAGGGGAAGGACATGAGAATAAGTTTAATTTGAAAAGCTACTTCAATCAATATTGAAGAAGAATTTTTTGTTGATGTTAATCTATTATGCTTTCAAATGTTTGTTTGTATTGCTTATGTTGTGTCCTCTTCCATTGCTGATCTTCAGGGTGGCTAGAAACGGTTTAATTTCTTCCCTCTAACAAAAGCAGAGGCGATTGAACACATTGCTTCTATTTGACTGACAGTGAAATGCTTGGGTTTTGGTTGGGTTTCGTGCTTGGTGGGTTTTTTGTGGTTGTTTTGGGTTTTTTTGTTTGTTTTAAATGTCTGTTTTAGCCTATGCAGATCTAGGCTAAGGTAGTGCTTCTGGAGGCTTTCATTTTGGGTCAGAGGATGAGGAATTTTCTGAAACAGGTGATCAGTATCAGGACTCATACTGAAACAGTCATTTTTGTGAATTAATGTAAGATATTGCACAGAAGCAATGAATAGCAGAAAATACTAAGTTTTTGTACAGTATAGGACTCACAAATATGCTCATTATTTTTTCATGTTGCCACTAAAGTAAATAGTATTAAAATCAGGCCAGTATTGCATCTTGAAGACTTCATTTCTTCTGATACAGAGGAAATGCACCTATGTTTGACTTGTTTATTGAGCTCCTCTTTTGCAGCCCATAAATTCATGAGATGGTTTTGTCTTTCCAAGCAAAGCAGCTCTTCTTCAGTGCTCTTTGCCTCTGGAGCTATATGTAAACAGTGCTACGCTTGATACCATGATTTAATTTTTTTAGGTGCAGATTTCTCAGGTTAAATCTGGCTTTTATCTTCTAAATCTCAAGAGAAAATAGATGAATAGCTTGTTTTTGAAAATGCACATTTATTGTTCTTTTTAGTATTTTTGTGACTGTGTTTACATCTTTTTGCCCAGCTGTGCTGGCAGCATCTCTTAGTAGATTTCTAGGTTGGTTGTTTTTTTTTAATGCTTGTTTTCCTGACTTGTGGTTGAAATGCTGTTTTCAGTTTGTTTTCATTGATCTTTTTTAATACATGCAGGAGAGATTCCTGGACATGCATCGTTCATGCAGTTTTGTTAAGCCTTCTATTCTTGGGAAGCAGTTTTTTGGTGTCGTACGCTGTGTTGCTTACTGAAGGGCTTACTGGCTGGGAATGAATGATTTAGAGGTCCTTGCATCCCCAGCAGAAGGTACCAGGAGTTCAGTTACTGGAGTTCTTAGCACCTTCTGCTTGGGTCTGCCTTATAAAAAAATATTTCAAGGTCTGTATCGTAACATTGACCTTTATCTTTTTCCCTTTGCTAAAAAGCCAAGCAGACTAGCTTTGCTTAACTTTTGAGGGTTTTTTGGTTTGGCCACAGAGCAGTGCTTAATTCATACGCGTTAACACCAAAAATACTTCAGAGATTCAGTACAAGATGGTAAAATTGCATGTCCACAGGAGTCGTTATTTCAAGGCTGATAATGAGCCTGCCCTTTCTGCAGACCTTTTTGAAGGACCTGAGTACCTTGCAGTTGCCTGCTTGCTTTTTGTTGTACGCTTCCTCTTTGCTGGCTTGCGCTGCAGACTTGTGCTTGCAAAAGAACAAAGATGTTTTGGAAGGCAAATGAGGCACAGGAAAGGGAAGGAGAGGAGCAAGAAACATCATAAGATTCAAATTGTTTCAGTTTAATCTTCAGTCTAGTACTTACTTGTTTGCATCTCACAAATCACTAGTGGAGTTTGTGCTAGTTGGAACATTTCTGTCAACATGAGCGGCCGAGGGATTGAATTACTTTCTAAGAACAAATGAGGAGGCAACGTTTGCGTCTGTGGTGTAACCTCTTTGGTCAGAAAGCATTTTGCTCCGCAGAATGCTTAGTCCCCAACACTTCCCACGTACTGAATTAACAAGAAAATATAAGCTGCATCATTCAGAAAATGCTTCTGGAGAGTCTAGCCTTTTTTTTTTTTTTTTTTTTTAAGGCAGGGAGGAAGTGACAAATTATCAGAAATCTGATTCTGATGCACTTGATAAATAAAACACAGGAAGTAGAATTATTGAATTATTGTTGTTTTTAATTAGTGATGGATCTTCTGTTTCCCAGTAGAATTGGGCAAAGATACTTTGGTCTTATCTAAGTGAGGGGGATTGGCTTAGAAAAGAGGTGGGGTTTAGACCCAAAGGGAGAAATGTTTATGAACTAATACTTTAGAAGCATGTTTAAGACTTTGAAATATGCTGATAACAAGTTTCAGAAGGTTGGATGAGAGTGACTTCCTGCAGGATGTTTTGTGTTCTTACTCTTGAAGTTACCTATCTTTAAAAGCACACAATCTGTTTAAACGTCAGTAGTAGTACTTCAGAATAGTTGTTTGTGTTGCATGCATCTAGAATACTGGTACTTTGAGAACCACTGAGAGCCCCTTCTCCTGCAAACCACATGGCCTAAATTTGCTCACTTCAGGTATCCGTTTTTCATAAAATAAAAGTATATATGTTTCTCAGCTATAGGTGGTAGCTATACCACTTATTTTGAAGAGGGCTAATGTACAGGAAAAGGTTGGATTTGTATTTCATTACGTTGTCTGTATGTTTTTAATTTGTTTTCCATACGGTCATAACAATTCCTGTTCCTAGGAAAATTATTTTGGAGAAGATGACATGTACACTGATTTTGAAGAAGTTATTTCAAGCCCTGTTTTGTCACTGTCAACATCTTCAAGCTCTGGATGGACAGCCGTTGGGGTGGAAAATGACAAAAAAGAAAATGGAAGTTTGGTCAAGCCAGTTCACCCTCTTACTTTACGCCCGTGGGATATCACTGTGCTTGTTAATTTGTACAAAGTGCATGGGCGATTACCAGTGGTAAGTGCTTTAGAATCTTAAAATATTTTGCTTCATGTAATTATTTTTTCTAGTTTTCGTAATCTGGAGTTAAATTTAACTCCCTGGAACATTAAGTTAGGGTGGTGCTTTTGCCAAAATATGTGTTTACTCTGTATTGAAATTGTGACTATCTAAACCAATTTGAGACACGATTTCTTTTGCTTATCTGGGAGGCAGAACTGGATATTTTTTAATATAATTTTTATTCAATGAACTTGATTTGTGTGATAATATTTTTGATTGACCATTATGATTTCTCTGCTAATTAGCAAAACTATCTTGTAATGGTGCATTCTGCTCTGTGCAGCTGCATTCTGAGGGATCCCCAGGAATTCAAATAAGACTTCAGATAAAAAATTGGGTTCACCCAAATGGGTTTGAATTGCTGTTTATGTAATCGTTGAAAGGTTTTTGAAGTTGCGAAGGCTTCTTTTTGCGTATCCACTGAGAGGAAAATTAGCATGCTTCCTGCTCACAGGTTTGCTTCTGATCTTAACAATTTCAATTTCATGCTGTGTATTTCCAGTTTCTGAAAGAGATGTGTTTAACTTTTGTTTTAGCATTGCAGTCCAGATGGTCCTGAGTGCCCTACAGCTTTCTTGGAAAGGTTGTGTTTTGAGATGAAGAAAGGATTTAGAGAAACAATGCTTCAACTTGTACTGTCTCCAGTGAATTTGTTTCTGAATGACAACTATCAGGTAGTAGGCTGGTTTTTATGTGTTTGCATGTGTGTGTGTGTATTGTGGAAGTTGTGATGATCTTAAAATTGAATTCTTTTTAGTTAGGAACTTTTGTGTTGTACACATACAAAGTTTATTAATGTTTATGAATCATAAGCGGTATTAAAGAAAAATCTGATTTATGGTGTGGTTTTTTTTTTAAATCTTTATTTCTGTCTTTTTGTGCAAAATGCACAAAAAAAAAGATTGTCTTTTCTTAGTTTTGCTTAAAATCTTTCTGGAGGAGGTTCTCTAGGAAACAGAGAGTAATATTCAGAACGGTCTTAGAACCATTGAGTGACCTCTGGTTTGTGTGTGTGGGTTTTTTGTTTGTTTTGTGTGGTGGTGTGGATTTGTTTTGTTTGGGGTTTTTTTGGGGTTGGGTTTTTTTTTGGTGAAGAACTTGGTTTTAAAAGATACTGTAAATACTGACACGTAAATTTTGTGCAATGGCTGGATATGGTTCACTTTTTTAAGCATATAGTTTTAAAACTGCACATGTGTTAGTAAATAGAACAACTGCATCTTTCACATATTCTCTGTGACTTCTATTAGACTAAATCACACAGCTGGGTCTGTATTTTATGGTCAAGGTATTGTTATGAGCTACAGTCTTCCTCTGGTCGGGGAGTCATGAGCCATGCTTCAGAAAGTACTTCATGAGACAAAGTTAAGTGGTGTTTGTGGCTTGTCAGCTAGCTGTATACTACTTTGATTTTGGTAAACTTGTAAAAATTGTCCGTATGGATGAATTTAGCTTAGTGAGGAGTTTAGGCTGAAATTTTTTAACACAAGAAGTTATTCTGATTCAGTGCAGGTTAGTGGATAGTTGGAGTTTGTATTTTGTTTATGCACATATTAGTTGCATTAAAAGCATTTTGATGCTTAGACTGTGCCTTACAGATAATATTGTTTTCAATCCCTGTGTCCTGAAATACGTTGCTGCCAATGGCCTGTATGAAATAGAATTTAAATTATTTTTATCTTAGGCACATTCCAGTGTTTGAAAACTGGAATACTGTATACAGATGAAGATGCATGTCACCCTATATTTTTACTCTTATGTCAGTAAGCTAGTGAAAGGAGTTGGTTGATGCTTGTTTAGTCTTTCCTAATTTGGATCCAGTGTGCCACAAGCACAAAAGTACCTTAAGTATAACCACTGACTGTAGACTGACTAATAGATAAAGGAATTGGAAGAAATAATGAACTTGCTGGATGGCAAAAAGTTAAATGACATCTTGGGAGAGTCCACAGTAGCCCTCATATTTTTGAGATGTTATTCTGTCGACCTCTGATTAGTAAAGAAGAAATCCCTGATGAGAACGTAGAATCTAAACATCCTGGTTCTTGGTTGCAGCACTGCAATTGTCTTTAGCAGCAATCTGAAGAAAGTGGCGTGAAGTCGCAGGAATTGCAGATGCATAATCCATATGGTATTAATAGAGCTCTTGAGAGCTGCAGAAATGGGATGTACTGACAGCATGGTGGCAGACAAAATGCCATTTTCCTCATAGCTTTTGTCAGGAGCTAAATATCCAGAATGTAGGGCTTGTTTTTCAATTGAATGAAGTTGTCAGAGGTGCAGTTGAAGCTGATGACAGTTGCAGCTCGAACATACAAACCTTTATGTAATGAAAGTTTGCATCTTATGAAGTTCCAGTTATGTTATCCAAATCTGCTGGAAGGTTTTTGTGTATTATTTTTTGTGGTTTGTGTGTGTTTGTTTATCTGGTGAGGATTCCAAGCATTTGAATAGCTGCTTATTTGAGAACACAATCTATTTTGTGCACTGAATGAGACCCTTAAATGTTGTTCAGACCTGTAACTTAATTCTTGTATTGCAATTCATATGTACAAGGAGGCAGAAATGAGGTTGCAGGCAAAACCTTAATCATTTTGGATTTGGGGTTTTTATGATTTAATTTCACAGCTCTGAGACTTAGTGCATGATTTTTTTTTTTTTTTTTCAGTATTCTTACTGTTTACAGTTAGTATCGCTGTGGTTATGCTTTTTGCCTTAGGTGTTATATGTTCTTTTTGGTTGGATTTATTTTAATTCAGAAATATTAACTCAGACAAATAAGACTTCTGCCTGGGAATTTCTGCTGGTGGAAATGATAAACATGCAGGGTGGCATGTTTTTAAAAATATTGTGAAGAAAGTTCTGATCAGTTATGTGTGTTACTATTACCTAGTGTTTGACTTTGTATTAGTTCTTGCAAATTAATGTTGGAAACATTTTTTTTTTTTTTAAATTACCCTTTATTTATATTACGTATCTCAAAAATGCTGTTTGATACTTCCCAGTTCAACCTTAAAGTGAGAAGTTCATAGTACTAATGTATATAGAGCAGGAATTGTTCTCTGCCTAGCTGGGCAAGTATCGTTACTTCAGGTTTCCCGTTCATATTGTTTTGAAATAGCTTCTGAATCGAGACATAGGTTGCCAGTGATAGCAAAAGAGTAGGGCATGTTTCTTCTTCATTAAGCAACTTCAAAGGGATTGCTGACAGTGGAAAACAAACCAGGCAAGATAACATGTTGAAAAAACTGAATGAAAGAGAATTTTTGCTGTTGACTTACTGGCTTTAATCCATAGCTTACCTCCATGCAGTCACGAGCTTCTAGTGTATGCCTGTCCTGGTTTTTTCTTTTCAGTTTCTTCTCTGGGTGGTGGAGTAATATTTTTTTGAAAATTTTTACATCTGAGTTTTCATATCTGCAAACAAGTAGCTTTGCTTTAGGCAGCCAAGAAATACTTGGGTGAAAAGTGTAGCTTAGAGGACAGCCTCTGATGTTTGTTATTTATGTTTTTTAAATTTATTTTTAATTCTTTTTTTCATAATGTGTCAGCTTTCTAATAGTAACAAACCTTCATAAGTCATGTTTTTTTAACCTCTTGATCAATTCCATTGTTAAACTTGCTCTTCCATTCTTTATATTTCATAGAATCATAGAATTGTTGAGGTTGGAAAAGACCTTTAAGATCATTGCAGTAATATTTAACAGGTGGTGTCTAGATGTCACTGTGTGGAGTTCACCAAGAGAAGGTCGTTGATGATGGTTGCTACAAATTAAAACAAACTTGGGTTAGATAAAATTCCCTCTCCCCCTGTAAGATCTGCATATATGTTGTTGCATGGGTAATGCTGAGAAGTCTTGGGAATGTGTATGAAGTATCTCTGGCTACACAGTTTTTGCACTTTCTATTGAGGTATTCTTTGCAAATATTAGCTTTAACTTACTTGTCCTTAACAGCGACCTGCAGCAGATGAAGTTCTTCGAGAGGGTCACATCAGCCTGTCAGGTCTGCAGTTGCGCGCTCACGCAATGTTTTCAGCGGAAGGTCTGCCTCTTGGAAGTGATACTTTAGAATATGCGTGGCTGATAGATGTACAGGCCGGAAGTCTTACAGCCAAAGTTACAGCACCACAGGTATCATCTAGAAACTATTCACTTTGAAGTATTACCTTTCTCCTTTCTTGTAAAACGGGCATAGCATGGATTTTGGAAAGCACGTTGCTCTCAGCTGAATTTGGATGCATCTGTGCCTTAAATAACCTTAATTTTATAGTTTGAAAATCTAACTATTTCTATAAATGGATATAAGGTGCCATAGTTTGAAAATCTAACTGTTTCTATAAATGGATAGAAGGTGCCCAATGAGCTGAATCTGAGACTCATGTTAAATCTAGATGTAACAGGGTGGCTGGTGTTATATGAGAATTTGAAGGAACGATGATAATGCATGAACAAACCAGTAGTGAATACTGTTGCCACTACATGTAAACACTTGTATGTTACATCTATGTATGTTAATGTATTTTAATACTGATTAGAAAGGCAACCACAGCATCTACATGCACTTTAAGTGGTTTAATCATGGAGTAAATAATACTTCTCCATAAATAGAACAAGTGTTTTGGAATGCCTTCAGCCATAAACTAGGTAATGTGACGAAGAGGAGCAAGGAAAATTTATTCAAAAGGTTTAAGTATGAGATAACTTTGATTTAGTTAAGTTGTCTGTGACTTCCTCTGAGGTTACTTTTATTTTATGATGCTGACTTCTGGAGATGCAGGTTTGTTACCCCTGCTGGTTAACTCTCTGGGAAGGACGAATGAAGTATCCAGTTGTGTTGCAGTCTGAAAGACAATTTGATATCCCTCAGATGTAAGGTTCTTGGAGATACGTAGGCATTTGCGTGAAGGGATGCTGCCAGCAATAAGGGTATCAAGTTGAGCATTTAGCAAGAATTCAGCTTGCAGGTAAAGTTCTGGCTTTCCCTAGAAAGCTCTGCACAAAGTGACGTTTTAAAGTAGGAGACAAATGAGATCATTTGTGGGAGTGTAGTACCGGCAGGCCTCAGCAGGAGAGTAGCTGGTAGCTCAGTCATGCTGCTCACTGCATAAATTCTGATGCTTGGTCCCGCTGGAACGTAGTTTGCTTTCAGTGTTGGATGTTCTTAGGTCAGTCTTAGTACTGACTTATTTTAGTTTTGCCATTTATGTTACTTTTATTTTTCCAGATATAATAATGGCTCCAAGTATACAATAGGCAGATCTCTTTGATTTGTTTCTGATGTGGTCTGCCAGATGTTTAGAAAAGGTTGCTTTGTCAGTGGACTCTGAGACATGATAAAAGTACATAAATTATATTTAGTAGTTAGTTTGGTTTGGTTTTTTTTTTTTTAGTTTTTTTTAAAGACACTTCTACATCCTCTTATTCCTCTAAAAATTGGTGTTATTTTTAGGATTAAACACTGCAGCAAATAAAATCAAAATAAGGCATACAAGCAATTTCAGTAGATTTGAAAGAATAGACTCCAGATACGTTTTAATGCTACATATACAGACTTTTGTGTATATATTTCCCCAAATGCTGCCACTGATTTAGATAAGCTGTAGTATTTACTCCACTGCTCTATGCTTCAAAAATAAACCTAGCTGATTCAAAGATTAGAGCACATTTCTAAATGCTTGATGCAAATTAACGATTTTCTTCCCCTACAAAGCCATTCTCAATTGTATGCTTCATGCAGGATTTTTATTTTATTTTATTTTATTTTTTTGTTGTCAGCACTGCTATGGAGCAGAAATTGAATTTGCTGTTTCAGGGTCATTGGCTTTTTTCCTCCCCTAGTGTGATGTATTGCAAGAATTTGTGAAGGGACAATGCTACAGGGAGGAGGAGAGATTTTGTGCAGGACAGTCATAGCTGTATTAAATTCCAGTTAAATTACTGCTGATTTTAAGTGCCCTTTGCTTTGGCTAGCCAAAGAAAACCCATTTCCCTCTCATAATAGAGGCAGACAGTCATGAATCATTTCCTTTATGAATGAGCTAACTATATAAAAGATTGAAATCAACAATAGGCTAATTACTAGGTCCAGCGAGATTCAGCAGTGTTCTGTTGATTCAGTTTCCTCCTGTGCTTTTAAATGCAACTTTGTTACTTACATACAAGGAAGTCTGATGTTTAAATTATGAATGGTAATAGAGTATTTTGAGGTATCTTTTTGAGGTAAAATAAGGGCAGCTCTGTCTTTACAATGAAGTTTTCAGTTGACTGTAATAGCAAACGCTGTTTCTTTAAATTAAGAAATAATTTAGAAAATTATTTAACATCACAGTGTTATCCATGAAAAACTACAGAGGCTTGCATGTTGTGGCACACACAAAAATAAAAATCAGTCTTGAGTAACAGGAAATAGACTATCTGTAAGAAGGATAGTACAGCCAGAATGTTACGGTGGGGTCTTTTGTTTCCTTTTACTTGGCTCACCTCCCAACCTTTGGTGATGTTCTTGCAGTACTCTGTCGAAAAAGTTCATTTTGTGTACTTACTATTAGACAACGTGTTGTTGTTTGCTTACAGCTTGCGTGTCTTCTGGAATGGGGGCAGACCTTTGTATTTCATGTGGTGTGCCGGGAGTTTGAACTGGAAAGGCCAAAATCTGTGATAATATGCCAGCATGGAATTGATCGTCGGTTTTGTGACTCTAAGGTAAGCTTTCATCTATCTTAATTGCTCACTATATTTGCACAGGTTCTTTGGAACAGTGTAGAAATCCAGCCTTAGAGTTATCAAGACACATGGAATATATAGTCAGATTGGATGTTCCATTTGATAAATTATAGCTAATTATGTTTTGGAAAGAAAAGTGATTCTCTCTGGATTTTCCTGTAGATACGCACAATGTTTTTATGCTCTATGAATTATTTTGAGAACCAGTATCTACAAAAGTCATGCCTAATTTCTTATGTCTACTGTGACAGTTAAGAGCCAAAAGGTGTACTCCAGTGTCCCTTAAGAAACAAAGGTCGTAATTCCCCTCGTGCTCCTGGCACATTGGTGGGAGACTTAAGCTGACAGCTTATCACTTCCATGCACCTTTTTTTTAAAAAAGACTGGACTCTTACTTAACCATCATGTCATTCTGCTTTTGGTGCTTGTCTCTCGGAATCCATGTGCACGGTCACTTGAAGACCGAAGGAGGCTTGCCATATATTAAGTATGAATCCTGGATGTCATCTCTTGATGTCTTCCCTGTTTTGTTCCAGTTTTTGTGATGTTCTCTATTAGGAGACTTGATTTACCTTTTGCTGGTGGAAGCCAGGAGAACCAGTTGGGTCTCCTGACATTGCTGGACAGAAGAATTAAACATGCACTAGTGAAAATGAACCTCAGCACAGAAACACCCCATCTCATATTCATGTTGATAGTGTAGAATTAGTAAATTTTTATTGCTCTAGTTTTAAGCCTCTGTTAAACAGAACATAAGTAAAAGGATGAGCACAAATTAAACTAGAACTCCTAATGTACATTTAAATCTTTTTTTTCTTTTTTTTCTCCTTTTTCTTCAGATGAACTGCGTCCCTGGGCCATGCCCAACTTCTGATGACTTAAAGTACACTATGACACGCTTAGCCATGGATGGAGCAGATCTGTATGTGGTAGAACACGGCTGTGCCACCAATATAAAGGTAAAAATATTTCTCTTAACAGCAAGTAAAATACTTCTTTGTCAATAGAGTTCTTTATATTTTTTGATAGAATAGCTACCTGAATTTATTGCTTGCTTACATGCAGTGGACTAAGCAGAATTTCTGAAACTTTAAGTGGTAAAAGGTTGGCTTGGACTGGGCCAGGAGTAGGTCAATTTGGCTTCTGCTTAGTAATTCCATTAACGATCTTGGAAAATGGTAAGGAGGAGTGGATGTCTGCCAAAATAAGAGTGGAAGCTGCAGGGTTGGTGTAAAAAACTTAAGAAAACACTGGGCAATATAAATCTCAGCGTCTGTACCTGAGAGCTAATATGAACTTGTGCTCTAAGTTAGTAACTCAGCAACTGGAAATGGTTGATATGGATTGCGTACAAGTCAGTGCTTGATAACTCATGATCACCTATACAGCTCTTTGAATTAAGATACATGTTTGGTAGAGATGGGAGAAGTGTTAGTGCCACTGCCTGACTGAATCTAGAATACTGCATGGTGTATCAGCTGTTGAAAAAAGGATGTGCAGAGAACAGCTGGTATTCTCTCTATTATCCTGTCATACAAGAGAACACCAGAATAATTTACTCGATGTAGCAAAATATAAGTTAAGAGAACTGAGTTACGGTAACAACAGAAAAGGAGAAAAGTGCTGGCTGGTATAAGTGACTAGTAGTTGTGCTGTCGATTAATAAATTTGGTTGGAAACGGTAGACTTATATGCAAGGTTTTGGGCACAGCTTCACATTATGATCAAGAATCTAACTGAAGGAAAGCATTAATTATTTTAGCCATTTTTTAATGACGTGGTATTTTGTCATTTGAATGGCTTGTTACTTGTGGCAGTTAAAAAAATGCGTTTGAGTCTCCAAATTCTTTTGAGTCCAATATTAAAAAGCACCATCGCAAATATTAACTGTGTTTGCGGGCATAAATATGAATGGCAGTATTTTCAAAGGCAGCTTAATAACCCGAACCACTCTAGAAAATTATATCCTGAATGTGTTTCATTCAAATTTAAAAAGAAGGTTTCCAGTGCTCCTTTATAGTCTGTGACAGAGATGAGAAGTAATAATTTAATATTAACCCTGTGGGTAGCTCTTCCATGGCTGGGTTCTTTTTCAGCTTTCCTTCTTTTCCCTGTGAAAAGTTTGAAAACTCAATCTGAAATGTCAGGTACTTCATGGTGACTTCTTGGAGAGGACTCAAGCTGTGCAGGAAACTTGGTCCAATGTCTTCAGATTATTTGAAGCCTTGAAGTCAAAGCATGTGTGGCAGGGCTATGTCGTCTTTTATTCGTGTACACCAGTGTCGGGGAGAATTGATACTGTATGGGCAGGTGGGTTAGTTGAACAGTGGCTAGTTTCCACAGCTGAGCGCAGGGGTAAAGCAAGAACTTCTCCTTCCTCTTTGGAAAGGGCTGGCTCCTGCCGGTACTGTGCTTTTCACAAGAGAGGGGCAGCCTCCTGTTTGGTTCAGCAAAACTCCTGGAGTTATGCCAAAACAAGAAATAGAGCGTGATCGTATAAGGGCTACTGTACCACAATTCGTATGGATCTCAGTTAAGGTTTAGGATCTGGAATTTCTTGAGTTTTGCGGTGTTAAACACATGGCTGTCTCACTGAGGTATTTATTAATTGTAGAGCTATTACAGCTTTGTGTTCAAAGTATATAATTGATGTTTTAGTCTAAGGACATAGAATGACACATATCAAATCATATATCAGATTTTGAAAGTTTCAGAATTCTTGGTTTTTAGATGACAGTGAAGAATTTATAATGATTTAACTTTTTTAAAGGTTCATTACTACATCTGTCCAAGGTTGCGCTTTCTTTTTTGATCTCTTTACAAAAGGAGACTCCTTTTGTAGAGATTTTATTTTTGTTATTTAAAAACTAGCTGAAACTAATTTCTGAGCTTGCCTTCTTTTGTGTGCGTGCACTTGCTTGCATATAAAACTGGTTCTCTGTTTTGGAGAGAATAGTTTACTGAGATGTTTCTGGAATGTAGTAGGTGGTGCGTTAACTGGTTTAAAGCTGCCCTTTCTTTGTTTCACTCCTAACTAATCAGAGTTCACGTTTTAAATCATGTTTTCAGATGGGTGCTATACGTATTGCAAACTGCAACCTCCACAACCAGTCTGTTGGAGAAGGTATAAGTGCTGCTATTCAAGACTTTCAACTGAGACAGTATGTTGAGCAGGTGAACAATTGCAGAACTGGTCTTCAGCCAATATTAAGGAGGGCATATTGGCTGGAAGCTGGCTCGGTCAACTTGGGGCTCATCACTGCTGACATCGCTTTAGCTGCAGATCATCCTTCTAAACACGAAGTGCAGAGACATTTCTTAGAAACGCATGATAACCGAACTAAGAGGTAAGAGATATGATTGAAGGAGATGCATTTCAGTTTTTTGGGGGGTGTAAGTTAATACATTTGTCTAAAGATGGAACTTTGTTTTTTGCTTTTGGGTGTTTTTTTTTTTGCTTACACAGATTACAATTTCTTGTAATTTTTTTAAAGTATGTTGAATGCTTAGCTGTGGGGTTGGTGGTTTGAATGTGCTTGGACTATACAAAATCATATGATTTTTGGCAAAACTTACTTTTCCCTCTGCTTTCCCTTATCCCCCACAATTAAAGATCAGGGAGAGGAGGGAATCAGATTTGTCCTTTGTTCTCAGGCTGGACTGAAAACAGGCCTCAGAGTCCTGAGCAAGCTGATGAGCAGCTGTGAATAAGATGGCTGGCGTAACTGATTTGTGTGTCTCCCCAAAGAGCAATTGCCTCTGGCATAAGCAACATATACCACTGTGGAGTGTGTTTGCAGTGCTTGCCTCTGTGCTGAGAGAAAGGGTTGCTACTGTTACTGTGTATTGTGGCAGGTGGACACAATCTGTGCCTGAGCACGGTTGCCTGAGCACTACATATACATTTGTGATTTGCTCCTTCTGGAACTAATCCTTCATTTTATGTCTTATGTCTGTGTTTCAGATATAAACCTTACTCATTTCATGCTGGGTGAAATAGGAGCTCACATATAAGAGAGGGCTATCTTTTAATCTTGTTTTCACTGAATTTAAATGTACTAAGGCTGATGTAATCATGTTTTTTTGTTTTCTGTTTTTCTGCCTTTGTATAGATTGTGGTTTCTGTGGCCTGATGATAATTTGAGGAATAAGAGAAGCAAGAACAAGTGTGGCTGTCTTGGTGGTTGTCGATTCTTCGGTGGCACGTTAACAGGACTAGATTTTTTCAAGCTTGAGGAACTGACACCTTCAAGCAGCTCTGCTTTCTCAAGCACAAGTGCAGAATCTGATATGTTTTATGGGCAGTCTTTACTGCAGCCAGGAGAATGGATAATTACTAAGGAGATTCCTAAAATTTTAGATGGTGAGAATGCATTGTACTGTAATTTTACTCTATTTTGCCCCAAAGTACAATTTCTTAACTGCACATTAGTGTTTATAGTCTTTCCGATTCTGGTTAATGAGTAATACTTGTTGCGCCCGTGTGCACGAGGTCTTGTAGTAGCATGAGCCCTTCAGAGAGCAGACAGTAGCTTGATAGTAGTGAGCAAGCTTTCATATGCCAAATTCTTATGTTATACATGCAACTCCTTTCTGAGTAGAAAGAAGTTTTTTGACTTGCATCTGTTCTACTTATGTAGAAAGCAGTCTACCAAGACAATTTGATGTTTTGCTGCTCTGACTTTATTAATTTTTGTTAGTACATGCTAGTATGCGTATGCATTTCAAAACTAGGGCTTTTGTTTGATGGTGATTTTTATTTCAGTGGGCAGGGAAGAGACCATTGCAGTTGTGTTATCAGATGTTCAGTTTTTCTTTTGTGTTTCTGGTCCTAGGTAAAGGAAATGGTGTAAAACGAAAAGATTGGGATTGCCGATCTATGGGTATAGAAATAGAAAGAAAAGCACAACATCTAAGCCTACAAGTGCCATTGCGCTCCCATAGCTCCTCATCGTCTTCGGAGGAAACGAGCAGTTCTAGTGCTGCACTCCCCTTGCTTGCTGGTGAGAAGGACAGCCCATCGTCAACTACTGAGGATCACTTGGGACAGAAGGAGTTCTTGTCTGGTACAAAAAGGGAAGATGGTCATGGAAGGTTAGTACTCTCTGTCCAGGTAGAAGTATAACTTGACTCCTGAACACATTATGACAGAAAAAAAACCCTATATTTAGCAATTTATAAGGTGTTGGTTATTTTCTAATGGTACTGCTGAAATGCGTTTCCTAGTTTGAATGCTGCAAATTTGGATCCCTAATATGGGATGATTACCTGATCTGGGTAGAAAATCCAGCATATAAGACAACAGCACTTGCTGTTAATGTTCGTTTTTACATCCTCTATATGTAGACAAGTGGACTAACAAGTGGCAGAATTTAGTATGTAATCAGCATTATGAAAATAATTGCTATGCTAATAGAAAGTCATGGAATCACTGAAGCATTTGACAGCTCCTATAATGTAAAAAGAGAAGCATTAACAAAAAAATAAGTAAATGAATCTTTAATTTTTATTTCCAGTGTTGCAATTGAAGGTGCAGAGGGCAGCCCTGCATCCCCTGGCAACCAGGAAAAGCCTGTTGGCCAGTCTCCCCTGAGGTCTCCACTGAAACGGCAAGCGTCCGTGTGCTCCACCCGGCTTGGGAGCACCAAGAGCCTCACGGCAGCCTTCTACGGAGACAAGCAGCCTGTTCCAGTTGGTGTGCAGTTCAGCAGCGATGTGTCTCGCAGTGATGAGAATGTCTTGGACTCCCCAAAGCAGAGGAGGAGCTTTGGTTCTTTTCCGTACACTCCATCTGCAGATTCCAACTCATTTCACCAGTATCGCTCAATGGACTCCAGTATGTCAATGGCTGATAGCGAAGCTTATTTTTCTGCGGCAGAAGAGTTTGAGCCAATAAGTAGTGATGAAGGTCCAGGAACCTATCCAGGGAGGAAGAAGAGAAAAAAGCAAGCTCAGAAAATTGAATATAGCAGAGGGTCAATTTATCACAGTGTGGAAGGGCCCTTAACAAGCACAGTCCATGGAGAAATTAGCCAAGATGTTAAAACATTGCCCATTAAGACTCATCCTTCACAGGCTTCATTTGTTTCAGCTCTGGGAGGAGAAGATGAGCATGTTGAGAACATGTACCTCATGGAATCTGAGAAGACTGTGGAAAGTGAGCAAATAACTTCCCAGCAGCCTGTAATGGCATGTTACCAAAACTATCTTACACAGTTCCAGGTGATCAACTGGTCAGTAAAGCATCCAACTAACAAAAGAACTTCAAAATCCTCATTACATCGCCCTTTAGACCTTGACACGCCAACAAGTGAAGAAAGTTCATCATCTTTTGAGCAACTTTCTGTCCCAACTTTTAAGGTATGGAAGATGGAGGAAGAAGGAGTAGAGAAAGGAATAAGAATTCAAAACAGGTTAAAATTGCTTAGTCCACCTGTTGTGTAAATAAAGCTATGAGAAACTTGAAACTTCCTTGCTTTTGTTATGGAATACCTTGGATTTCTGACTTTCTGACCCCAGATCATGGGCTGCAAGGCTGGGAGGTTGTGGAAACGGAAAGATGGAGTTAGAGTTCTGTGGATAAGATGTGTGTTCTGAATTGTCATTAGTGCACTTAAATGCTGCCTGTTGAATGATATGCAGCTGAAAGATATTTATGTGAGTTTTGTTTAAAATACGTTTCACAGAACTTCAGTAGCAGTACATTTAATACCCATAAAGTTTAATCTGGGCTGTAAATTATTTACTTCAAAGTAAAGTTGAAACTGCTAGATTTAGCAAATGATTTTAGTAAATGTTTGGGCTTTTTTTTTTTTTCCTCCCATGATGTATGTGATACGAGCATACATGCTTAAGGAAGGAGCAGAAACAAAATCTATGAAAAATAATGGAAATGACTTGATAGAAAATAGGTGTCTAGGCTCTGGAATTTAATTTGTTATCACTTTGCAGCAAAAGCTTTGTGTTCATGCAAGCCTTTGGTAGATAGGTATTTGGAGCCTTTTTTTTAAAGCCATGAGTCACTGTTTATCTATGTAAAAACTTTCTAATCCAATACCTGAAGTCATTTAAAAAAAAAAAAAAACCTAGGAGTTTCTGTATACTATATTGGAGAATCTACATATAAGGGATTGTTTTAAGAAAAAAACTGCGAGAATCTTTATTTGAAGATTCCTTGGGTATTAGGAACTCCTTCATATATAGAAGGAATGTAATAAATTTCTTTGCACTTTTATCTTAGATTGTTAAACAGGGTCTCACAGCTAATTCGTTACTGGACAGAGGCATGCAGCTTACAGGATCAACATCTAAGTAAGTTGAATACTGTGTAACATTATTAGCATATTTTTTAACTGATACTTTTGTTACTCAAATACTTTGGCTCTCACTAGCCATTCTAAAATTTTATTCATAGCAGTAGTTTTCAGTATGGATGTATTTTAGAACAGAGTATTCTATTATAAAATGTTTGGGTTTGGTCAAAAAGAACATACACCATGAAAGCATTAAATGATTTCACTCGTATGTTTTCAAGATTATGAATTGCAACTTAATTTGAATTTATTTGGGAGGTGCTTATGGCAAGTGTCCATTGCATTGCCAAAAGCCGAACTTGAATCTAGGGAAGGGCCTTGGCCTGGGATTATATTGGTGTGTTTTCTAAGCTATGTGGCAGAAGAAACCTGCCATTATATGCATTTTATGAAGAATTAAAATGATACCAGGACACTTGTGTATTTCTTTTGCAAACCTAGATTATTAATATGTATTTGACTTGTTTAGTACACCTTATACACCTTTGGAAAAGAAGTCTGCAGAAAATACAGATGATGAAACGATAACAGAGGAATGGACGTTGGATCATCCTGTCTTCCAGACACGGACAACAGCAATAGTAGAAGTAAAAGGAACTGTGGATGTAGTTCTGACTCCTCTTGTAGCAGAGGCACTGGATAGGTAATTCATTTTCCTTTTATTACTGCAATGTTAATTGATTATGCTAAAAATTGTCTGCAATCAAAGCTGTTCAGTTCAGCAAAGGTTTAGGTGAAAGGATTGAATAACGCGACTCATGGAACAGTAGAGCCTTGTACCCAGTGAATGTAATTCTGCATTTCCCATGAAGAAGCTAGAAGAATGTGATGCTGACCTGGGAAGCGCCCTTTACGTCTGTCAGTGCTTCATTTTTCTCTCTGTCGTGTTAATTAAACATCATTGGTGGTGTGTCATGTGAAACTGGATGTTTAAATGGTCTGTTGTGGGCTTGTTTCCTCTCACAGGTATATAGAAGCAATGGTGCATTGTGCTAGCTCTCGACACCCGGCAGCAATCGTTGATGATCTGCACTGCAAAGTCCTTCGAGATGCTGTGCAGAACAGCAAAACAAGCTTCTCAGAAAATGTAAGAAAGGGAACAAGAAAAATGCACAAAGATTTGAAAGAATATTGTTTTCTATATTTTACGTGGAATAAGTTTCAATTGAGTTCAGTGTGTTGAGAGATAGTAGCTAAAATCTATATTAAATATCTATATTAATTTGATTATATTATTTTTATCTTGTGCTTGACATACATTTTCATAATCAGCTGTTACATACTGTCTTTCAGTGACCAGAAATCTCTTGCAGGATTGAAGTGAAGTTTTTCTGTTTTGGACAGTCTAGTCAGTAGCTAGAGTAACTTGCATGGGATCATACATTCTGTTCTTAGAAATTACTATAACCGATATTTTTATGTATTATAGTCATATCAGCAATACATCATTTATTATTTTACCATAGTTAGGGAGATAGTCTCTGTGAGGTGGAAGGAAAGTTCAAACTAAGCTGTGAAAGTGCATGTGTTTTCTTTGCTGTTCATCTGATACCTTAAAAAAAAATTAATTTAGCTTGAAAAGAGTTGTATGGTAGCTCTACAAAATTAGGAGGTTTTTCTGTCCAAGTTGATGACCGTATCTATATTTTATAATTTCTTAGACTTCACAGTGTAACGGACACTAATTCTTTACTTTGTAATAAATTGTTCTAAATAACTTACATATATAGAACTCAAATTTTCAGCTGAAATCTGGTAATTCGAAAGTTTATTGCAGAATGGCATTGCTACCCTTATGGATCTAAGCCTGTCGTATGTGTAAGTGCTACAGTCCTTGTTCTAGAAATCATGGTATTGTGCTTTAAATGAAGTCAGAATCTCTTGCTGCTTCAGTGCTAATAATCCATCCTGTCACTCTTTAGCTTAGCAGCTCTAAGTTTCAGTGAGAATAACTTATTTTTTCCCCCCTCCAAGTTATCTTCGAAGCAGGATATTAGAGGAACAAAAATAGACACTACGACTACAGGAACAACAAACCAGGGACCAGCACAGACCAATCTCTCACTTAAGCAAGATAATGTGACAATTAAAGGTCTTCAGGCCAACGTTACTGTACCAAAGGTAACAACTTTTTGTTTAGTTTGTTAGTAGACATGTGCCGCACAAATTACCCTTGTTTTGCATCCCTATTAGTTCCCCAACAGCTTAAGTGAAGCTATGTATTTGTGCTAGATAACTAGTGTTTTGAACAGGATAGACTGTTTTGGAGCTGCTCAATTTTATTATGGTATGTTAGGTTACTGGTTGGACTGGATGATCTTAAAGGCCTTTTCCAACCTAAACAATCCTATGATTCTATCTGTGCAAGTTAAGTAACAACCACTATAGGAGTAACTGCCTAACTGTCTTTTAAGTTATGTTTTTCATCTTCAAGGCATGATGGTTTTATCTTTTATTTTTTCATTTTACTGACAAGTGTAAGACATGATTGTATCGGAAATTAGTGATGTATACTTAATGTAACATGTTTTTTTTAAATTTCTTTACTCTTTGGGGGAATTTTCCATATAGGTGAACCTGTGTTTACTACAAGCATCTGTTGATGAATCCCCAGGGGTTTCTTCTGGCAAAACCGTGATTCATGTTTCATTAGTAGCTTTGTGTTTTGATAGAATTGCCACGCAAGTTCGTATGAATAGGTAAGAATAATACATATGGCTATTTGTGACTCTTTAAGTTAGTCGAAAGACTTAACAGTGATGCCATTTTTTTGCAGTTCTGAAGAGTATTTGAAAAGGTTGTCATGACTGAGTTAAGCAATGAAATGTGTCTTCTGTGATTCATAAGTTAATACCTAATATCTAATTAGAATTGCAGTTTCTTTAAGAAGTGGAGGAACCCTTCTGGAATAATTTTGGAACATCAGTTTTAACTCTTTCTTGCTTAGATGTCATGCAGGATAAAATTAAATTTTTCAATATTATTCTACCAAAGTGTATGTATCTTCTGTTTTACAAAGAAATTTTTTTGACACTGCTATGCCAATGTCACTTAAAATTTTAAACAAAAATAATTAAATTAACTACATCTATCTGAGATTTGCTTAATTGTTTTTTCTCCCTTATTTTCAAAGGGGTATAGTTGAGGAGACTTCAAACAATGCAGAAACTGGGAGGAATTCTGTCACATTTGATCGTTACATCCAAACCAGTAAAATGCAGCCCCAGTCTTCTGGCTCGCTGAGATCCAATGCTGGAGCAGAAAAAGGAAAAGAAATTGCTGCTAAATTGAACATCCACCGCGTTCATGGACAACTTAGAGGCCTTGATACAACAGGTAAGCCTTTTTTTAAATTGTGGAAATGTCAGTTTTCATAGAAGCAAGTGGTTATAGTTGGCCTTGATCTTGTAGTTTGGTTGCGTTTAGTTTTTTTATCAACACAGATAAAAAGACACTTGAACCTGGAGATTTGCAGATACTCTAAAAAGAAGTTTAGGATAGTTACTCTGAATTATTTTCTGTTATTCTACTAAAGTGCTAGATTTAAATACAGGCAGAGTGAAAATTATCAAGATGAACTTCTAAGCAGTTTGTGTGGCAGATGGGTTGCATTGTAAATATTGACACACACTAGTAAAATTTCAGGCCTGGGCTCCCTTCCTCCCAATTGATCTCTTCTCAGCTACTGTTTTTTGTCACCTGATGCGGGGAATGAATTATGCTTATTTGCTTTCTTACTGCTTTCTAACAATTTCAAGATCGGTATAATGTTCCTGTTGTACTGGCAATTTCAGCATGACAAGCTGTAGATTTTTAATGATAGTGACTATAAAACTGAAAATGAGATCTACCCAATTGTCTTCCTGCTTGTTTGTGTTAAGGAAATTACTTCAAGAGGCTATGAATTAAATTCAGCTGCTATAACTCTTGATCCTGAAAAAGATGACCGAAAGTAGAGGCCATTTTTGTTAAAACTGATTGAATTTTGATGGAATCTATACCAGTTAGTGCCGTGTTTTACTCTGTCCTATAAAGAATAGGAATCTTTAGGACACGAGGAAGTGCTCTGTGAAACAAGTATGATTAAAACACACACACAAAAAGCCTAAAAAACCAAAATATAAAACCCCACCGCTGTGCAAAGATGAGTGAGCAAAAGAAATTGGAGGAAAACAAAAGCAATAAGAGAACATTAAAATGGCTAACTCCATTTTTACTTAGTTATGGGTAGAATTTTAGTAGTGTCCTGTGTTAGGTATGCTGCAGACATTCAAGAAGGCCAAGTAATTTTTTAATTCTAACCAAGAATACTCATCATGTTCTATTTAAAAGGTTTGAGAAATGTCTTTCTAAGGATCTTAGCATTTCACGTAGACTTCAAAAGTGATTGCAGATATAAGTTGGGGGCAGAGAGTGAGGATTGGGAGGGATATAAATTGACTCAGTGTAGTTCTTTTCCCCAGATATTTGACATTTAGCTCTGTGTGTGAGTTAATAGGCAATAGGTATAAAATGATTCAAAATGTTCCTTCAGAAATGTCACTAGAAGAAAGGATTTGTATTTAAGCTACATCCTAACATCAAAGAAATCAAGGTGCCATAGTACCCTCCTGGATCTTAGACAGCAAAGATCATAATGAATTAAAAACTGCTTGAGTCTGTATTTTCTTAGGAATCGGTGAGACTTAGTGCTTTACATCCTTCCAACACAGACATAGACATGTTTCCAACCAAGAAGCAGTCTTTGAATTAAAATTAGAACTTTATTTCTAAACATCCTTCAAGTTAATACCAAATGTGTTTCTACTAAAACGTAAGATCCTATTAGGAATGTTGTGTTTGGTAAAGTAATCTCAGGCCAATTGCCAGTTTCAGATAAAAATCTGAAGAGCTTGTTTGTACACGTCTTTGGAACCATGACTCTACAAAAAGACGAAGGTGGCAGACGTGTTAGGATTGGGAATGTCTTGAAGCTTTCACTTTTGTGTTGCTTGGTCCATGTTTTTCTGAACTTAAAAATTACCCTGCCCATATTAACATACCAGAAGGGAGGGTTTTAGACTTTATAAACTAAGCTGCTTTTTTTCTTGCTTGTACTTTGCTTTTCTTTTTTTTTTTCTTTTTTTTGCCCCCTTCCTCCCCCATTTAAGGAATGCTAAACGGGCAACACTCCCAAAACACTGTAAACTGATGTAAAGCTTTTTTCATTTTGTAACAAAGTGGTGAATATGTTTGCTTTCACAGATATTGGAACTTGTGCAATAACAGCTATTCCTTTTGGGAAATCAAAAGTTCTTTTTACTTTGGAAGAGTTGGATGAGTTTGCTTTTGTGGATGAAACAGATCAACAAGCTGTTCCAGAAGTAACTCGAATTGGTCCTAGTCAAGAGAAGTGGGGTTGGATAATGTTTGAGTGTGGAATTGAAAATTTAACTATAAAAGGTAGGGCTTATGTAGGCTTTATATTTTGCTTTATGAAACTGCTAACAATTCTGTTGTTAGGTCTTCTAGTTTAGCAATTACGTGATTAGAAATTGCTGAATGTAGGTGATGCTAAACAGTACACATCTATTGTAAATAAATTATATCACATAGCAGATTGTACAGTAAAGGAACTTTTAGTAACCGATACCACTTATAACAGTATATGAAATAATTCTATATAAACGGGTTTCAGCAGTTTCTGAACTTAAAGTGAATGTAGAAGTTGATGCTTTCGCTGATCACTTAAATGACCTTACAATCATACCCACAGTGTCTGCATATAGGGCCAGAGTTTTTGTTTGGGGGGGGAAAGCTAGCTTGAAAAAGAAAAAAAACCAGTGTATATGTATTTTCTGCCATCCGATTTATTCTTTTCAGGGAGTAGTGTTTAAAAAACAGTCTTCATGTGCATACCCTTTGTCTACTTGGAACAAACTATCAGAAGCTCTACAACTAGCTGTTGAATTGTTCTGTAAAAATTGTAGTAATAAGTTGTTGTGTAAAACAGTAATGCACCTTGTTTAATCAAAATCATATGTATTTCTCCTCTAAAGTGTATATTGTTTCAATGGGACATAACTTATAGAAGTTTATGCGCAGCAAACATTTACAGTCTTGATGTGTGTGCTTTTATAGGAGGAAGACAATCTGGAGCAGTATTGTATAATACATTTGGAGTCATGGGTAAATCAAGAGATACAGAGAGAGGTGGATTGCTTGCATCAAATAACTCTTCAGATTCTCCAACTGGTAGTGGTTATAATACCGATGTGTCTGATGATAACCTTCCCTGCGATAGAATAAGTCCCTCTTCAGATATTAATGGAAATTCAGTTTCAGATGAGCAGGTATGTACATACTATGTAGGAATGATTTGTCTTAGGTTAGCTTTTTTTGAAAGTGATTAACATTTATAATAAGAAATCGACATTTAAACAGATGATGTGTTGTGCCAACTGAATTCGTACTGTCTGCCTGCACATGAAACTTCCAGCTTTCTGCAAGGTCTCTTGGTATTGTCTTGGAAGAGTTGGTGGACAGCATTAGTTTATTTTTCTTTGCCTAAATGCATATGAAACTATTTCTTATGAACAGTGCACGGTATGGTATATTAGTGCCTTTCAGTGTAATCATTTTGGAAAACAATTTCACTTCTGACTTTGTTTCCTTTTTTAAGGATGAAGGGGTTGAATCTGATGATCTGAAAAAAGATATACCCTTAATGCCTCCTCCCCCTGACTCTTGCAGCATGAAGCTAACAATCAAAGAAATTTGGTTTAGCTTTGCAGCCCCTACCAATGTGCGCTCTCCAGCCCATATATTTTCAAGGTATAATTTTACCTGATATAAAAGAAAGAAAATGACAATTCTGCTTCGTTAAATTGCTGTTGTATTTGGTAGATTCTGAATGTAACTTCAATAATTTTTTAAGCTTCTCTGGAAATGAAAGTTTTGGATTTTACGTATATCTTGCTTAATTTTTTTTTTATTGTCATGATTTATATAGAAGTGTTGCTAGAAAATTTTTAGTTAGACATGTTAGTTAGATATGATTAAAAGAAGGAAAGAAAGATTAAAAAAACCCCCAACAACCAACAAAAAACTTCCAGTGAAACTGAAATGTGTGAAAGAAAGGCAGGGGAGGGTATTTCTTTTGAATAGGAGAGATGCTAGAAGAGAGAACCACTCAGTGCTTTTGGTGTTCAACCTGATGCTTAACCTATGATCTTACTGCCATTGCTCTATAAAGTTCAAGATAAATCTTTCTAAGATAGTTTTTCACATTGTGTTTGTAGAACAAGCCAAATATCCTTATCTGCCAGTAGTTTAAGCTCAGTGTATAGCTATAAATGAGAAAATACTCTTCGTGGTTCTCCTAATACTCTTGCCTCAGCCCTTCAGCAAAAGTCCTTCATGATGGATTTTGTAACAGTTAATGTGGAATTCAGTCAGTGATGAGAATTTCAAACTGTATGATTTCAGTAGGGACTACAAATGGGAAAAGGAGGGAATAGCAGTAGCAGGAGTGGATGGAATCATGAGTATGTGAACATGTAAAACAAAAAAAAACTGCCTTAGGTACTTTTTGCCAATTTTCATTTTCTGGGCAATAAGTCTGTGTTTGTTACTTTGTGACACCGTTCTGTCATATTCCACCTATTTGAATGTCATTCATAGTAGCATTAGAAAATCTTGCTAATTGCTGCTGCGGAACAGGAATACCTAATTCTTTTTATTTTTCTCAATAGGCAGCTGAACCTCCTGAGTACTGCAACGCCCGCAGTTGGCGCGTGGCTTGTTCCCATTGATCAAGTGAAATCATCATTAAATAAACTAGAAACTGAAGGAACCCTGCGAATCTGTGCTGTTATGGGTTGCATTATGACAGAAGCTTTAGAGGTAAATGGCCTTTATAAAATCAATAGGTATATCAGAACAGACCAGTGTAATATGTAATACATATTTGTTTGGGATTTGGGATATTTTTGCTGACAGACTTACAGCACCTCTTATGAACCTTTACTTCCAGAATTGGTCACAAGGACTCACTACCTGTGCTTTTTGAACACAATCTAAATTTAAGTGGGGAAAAAAAATTTAGCTGTTACTAGTGAGGAAATCTTGCGCTGCTTACAGGAGTGCATCTCCAGGTAAAATAACTGGAGATTCTGCCTTTTGAAAGGGAAGAGTAAGAAATATGGCTGTAGCATCTGGTATATTTTATGAAATATGAAAGTGTGTTGAATTATGAAATACTCAGGGTATCTTTTGGGAGAAAACATGAATTTCTGTGGTCCTGGAGTGTATTGAATCATTGTGTTTATTGGGCCCGCTTATTAGAGGAAGGGAGGACAAGCATGGTGAGGGTGAAACATTCTAGCAAGAAATGCAAGATAGACAAATGTTTTGTTGAAAACTAGGATTGATAGAGCTTTTATGACAAATTGGGTGTTACTGTCATTTGCTAAGGAGCTTTCTTGTAGGCAGTTTTCTGCTGGTCGTTGACTTAGCACCATCTAGTGGGAAGATTTTGAGGTGATTAGTGCCAGGCTAGTTTTCTGTTGTACTCAAAAATCATCCTTTGCAGCAGTCTCTTATTGCTACCTCCCTTCCTGTTTCTTCTCCAACCCTTTTTCTAGCATTAAACCAAATTAGAAAAGTGCCTGTTTTTTCTTTAACTAGGAATAAACAGTTTCTTGGAAAATCTCACCTAGTTTTGTGTATATGTCTTATTAGTCCAGAGGTAACTTTACAAAGTCTGCGATTTGAATCCAACCTTCTGCTTTATTACATCAAATAAATAAATAAGCATCAAGTATGATCTTTCACATGGCACTATATAAAATAAGGTAGGTATCCATGTGGCAGATCTTTGTTGCAGAAGTGCAAAATGGGGTTAGAAGTTTGTGGTATCGTAGGGAAAATCTCGTAGTTCATGCGTGTGTTCTGTTTGCAAGTATGTTCATATGTGAAAAATGTTTACATTTTAATCTAGAATAAAAGTGTGCACTTCCCTCTGAGAAGCAAGTACAACAGGCTTACCAAAGTGGCTCGTTTCTTGCAAGAAAATCCTTCTTGTTTACTGTGTAATATATTGCACCATTACCTTCATCAAGCGAATTACTCCATTATTGAGGATGCCACCATGGTGAGTTACCCTGTAAAAATGGAAATAACTCATTGTGTTAGTTTCAAATGTACCAATTCTAATGTCGTAAATGAGTTAACAGTTTAAGGAAAGCTAACAAGCGAGAAAATATAACCCAAACTCGTCTATATCCTTAAATTGATAAGTAGACATACCTTCTCTCATTTCATTTTCTTTCAGAGCTGCTGGTTTTGCTGTGGCTTCTGTATATGCATAATTTTTATTGAGCTTTTTCATTAGTAAATCCATGAGAAATCATAAACCAAAAAGGCATGTCTTTAAAATTGTTCATGGCCTTTTTATCAGATTTCATTTTTCTTCAAGATAGCAGTAAAGTAGTAAAAATTTGCATCTCTAGTTTTAAAATTGAATAAATCTCAATTATTAAGGCAAGTGCATGCACTGATTAGCTTATTCCAAATTCTCTCCTTCAGAACTAGTTTTCATGTCTTTTAGAAATACTTGGATAATGCAGACAGAAAAGAGCTAGAATTGTAGAAACTTTAGGCTTAACAATCTAATCTTTTTCTTGGTGGCTTTAGAATGTAAATGTCTGGCTTGTAGCGGTAAATAATTGTTTGAAGAAACGTATTAGGCATAAGGAGGAGTGTTTGTTCCTGATTTTGTGTCATTTTCATAATCCAATTACATGGCTGTCAGATTCAAACAGTATGTTTTTCAACATATTCAGCTGAGAGCCTAATTAGCACAATCCAGTGATGTCATCAAAACAAACTCTATTTTTTGCCTCAGATTCATGTTTTTAAAATACTGCTTACCATCAATGGAAGAAACCTCATCTTTTTCATTTCAGTTCTGTTTCTACAGTCAATCTAGTGCTGTTTTGAATTTTAGTCCGTAGTTCAGACCCTTATAATGACTTAAGTACTTTTAGTTTCATACTTAATAAACCTGTTTCCTGTTGTTTGTCTTTGGCCCCTTGGGCTAGATCCTCAGGTCATGTAAATGAGTGTATTTACTGTGTTTGGTGAAGCTGTAATTTTTATCTGTTAGCACTACGGCTTCTTGTATCTGAATGGACGTTGTGTGGTGTCAGCATGTTTCTGTCACAAGCCTCTGGAGCACAAAGATTTAAGGGAGTTCTGACTTTTTCCCCAGTTTACTTCAAAACGCGATATGCATTTTTCCTTTTTGTTTCTCTTTTTTTAAGAGCGATGGCCTTCCTGCCTTAGTAACCTTAAAGAAAGGTCTAGTTGCCTTAGCAAGGCAATGGATGAAGTTCATTGTGGTGACCCCGGCTTTTAAAGGAGTCAGCTTACACAGACCAGCTCAGCCGGTGAAACTGCAGATGAATGCCTGCCACGAGCACGAGGATGGGCTTGGGTTAGACAACGGAGGGGGTCTTCAGAGTGACACAAGTGCTGATGGAGCAGAGTTTGAATTTGATGCAGGTATTTTTGTGTTCTTCTGCCTCCATAAAAATTCATAGGAACAAGTAACTCCTCTCAGAGCATTTCTATCTTCTTTAGTTTTAATGCTTGAATACATGACATTCTTCTTCTTTAGAATCATCAAGCTGGTTTTTTAGAATCATCTTTGTTTTGAAGCAGCTGCAGACAATTATAATTATAGTATTATAATAATGCTTACTTTTTTGGGGAAAAACAAAGCAGGAGACTTTCTCTACATGCTTGTTATTTACTGCACAAAATACATCAACTTAATTACTTGTTAGCTTGCAATTAGGATTTTGTTGTGCAGCTTCTGACCTTAGTTAAGAATTGTAACATGCAATTCTATGAATTCTCCCAGGTATAGGTTCAAACCTATCTTCTTATTTGCTCTTTGTGAAGCCATGTTTTCATAAAAAATTTTTTTCCTCACTTTTACTGCTTCATACGTGGTAGATTTCTGTTGCCAGCTTACGCGTTGCCAATTTAACATAAGCTACTGATTTAGCTTTGTATTTGATATAGAGCTGACTTAAGAAAGAACCACAGAAAGGAAGGGCATAAATAAATACATGTTGTTGTGGCACTTTTTTTTTTTTTTTTGCTGTCTTGGGTTGACTTAGGTTTTTTGTGTTTGTAGCATCTATATACAGTGTAACTGTTCTCAGCAATACAATATTTACATTTTTCTTTTCTCAAGTAAGAATTATGTAACATTGAGGAAAAAATAATTTTAAAAAATCCGAAGGAGAATCTGCTTTTGCTTAAAAGCAGGTGGCACTTATCAGCTTGAAGACAGCAAAAGCAAAGATGTTTGTGTGAGAAACTTGTATGTAATCATACAGTAGGATGGAAAATTTTGCAACCCCCCCCCCCTAAAATATTTGGTTTGGTTGAGCAGAAACAGAGTATTAGAACCGGTGAAGTATTTTCATTTTTTTTGCCCCGTGTATGTTCTTCTGTTTTTTCACCAAGAATTCTGGAAGTGGCAATTTTGCTGCCTTGTATAGATTTACTTATAGATGGAATTCATGCAAATGTAAGCAACTTAATTCAGAAAACAATCAGCCATGCCAGAGTCAGCAGAAGAAAGTGAAATTTGGCAACTTCCTTTTGATCTGAGCATAGAGCAACAGTTGTATGACATTAGAAGGACAAGAAGATTTGTATTTGGATTATTAAACAAAATCCAGTAGGGCCGTGTCTGAGGTTTTCTTATTTGTCTTAAAATTCCCTTGAATTCCCTAGACAGTTGTGCGTCGGTATGTGTCAGAATTTGGTAGTTCATGACTGCTTGTAAATAAATGTACCTAATAATAGATAATCTTGTTTCCCCATATATATTAAAAAAATGAAAAAATGATTTGCCTGGTTCCAGCCACCGTCAGTGAGCATACAATGCTCCTAGAAGGAACAGCTAATCGCCCTCCGCCTGCTGGTGGCTCTTCTGGGCCTGTAACTGGTGCCGAGATCATGAGGAAATTATCCAAGACTCACACTCACAGTGATTCTGTTCTGAAAATAAAGGTAAGTTTTTAGCGCCACACACAAGCGGAAAGTGGTTTGTAGCTGGCCTGTTTAGAAGCTATTCTGTAGACTGCAGATGAAGAAATGCTTGTCTGCAACATAACTAACACATGGAAGATATGCCCCTTACCTTATAAAAGTGAAGCTTGATCAGTTGGCCTATAATCTGCATCTGTTTATTGTTTTTCTTGCCAATTAACTTCAGAGCCGCACTTAAAAACAATATATATGTGCATCACTTACGGGTGTACATTAACTTTTCTGGCTTTTAATCTATTTATGGAAGCAGAAATGAGGATTTAACTATCATTATACAAAATATAAGATAGACAAAACTCTCCAGTAACTTGTATTAAACTAGCGTGGGTTTTTTATTCCATAGGTTGTTCAGCAAACTGCAAGATTTTCTTTTTATCTCTGCTTTCTGAACAGAAAGAGTCTGTGAATGTTTGTGGGTTTTGGGGGTTTTGTTTTGGTTTGGTGTGTTGGTTTGGGGGTTTGTTTTGTTTGGGTGGTTTGGGGGTTGTTTTTGGGTTTTTTTTAAGTCATTTGTTGTCTTCTGTATGTAAGTTAGGCAGCTTGGTGGTGTGTACTGATTCCTTTTCAGCTGTGGTTTTTCACTGAATGATTGAGGTTGAAAGGGATGTCTGTAGGTCCTCTTGTCCAACACCCCTGCTCAGGTTATATCCAGATGGCTTTTGAGTATCTCCAAGGATGGAGACTCCATAACCTGTGTTTCAGTCACCCTCACAGTAGAAAAAGTGCTTCCTGATGTTCGGGAGGAACCTTCTGTGTTTCAGTTTGTGCCCATTGCATCTTGTCCTGTCACTGGGCACCACTGGGAAGGGCCTGCCTCCGTTGTCTTTGTATCCTCCCTTCAGGTATTTACATATATTAATAAGATACCCCCTGACCTTTCTATTCCCTAGGCTGAACAGTCCCAGCTCTCTCAGTCTTTCCTCATGAGAGAACTGCTCTGGTCCCTTAACCATCTTAGTGGCCCTTTGTTGGGCTCTCTCCAGTATTTCTCTCTTGTACTGGGGAGCCCATAACTGGACACAGTGCTCCAGGTGTGGCCTCACCAGCGCTGAGTAGGGGTGTAGGATCACCTCCTTCAACTTGCCTGGCCACCTGCTGTCTAATGCAGCCTGGCATGGGCACACTGCTGCCTCACGTTCAACTTGGTGTCCCCCAGAATCCCCAGGTCCTTTACTGCAAAGCTCTTTTCCAGCTGGTTGCACCGCAGCATACACTGGCACGTTTGTCCCCTGTAGCAGGTGGTCACCCGCTACTATCACTGCTCCCTCCTGGTGGTCTTGCATGGTTTAGGGTTAAGCAGCCCAGATGCTTTGCTTTGAAAGCACATCTGGCTCTTTTTCAGTTGTGAGGGCAGAGAACCTGTTTCGTAGTTTTAAGCCTTTAGGTGGACCAGGAGCCGCTGCCTTGGTGCCAGAAGTCCCCAGCTTCCATTCTTCACCTTCCCCAGAGGCTGCACTTACCATTATACTAGGGATGGAAGGGGTTAGGTCTTCAGATGAAGACCAAATACAAATGAGGCTTATATTCAATGGTACGTACTGTTCCTCGTGCAAACTTGCTTTAGGTGAATTCTACTCATCCGCAGTTCCATTTGTTGCTTGTTTGGCTTTTTAAACTGGTTTTACACATAAAATTATTTTAATACTTGAGAATTCAATATCACCTTGATGCACAATATCTGTATGACGGATGACCTGCCCCAAGTGAAGTGTCCAAAAGTTTGCAGGAATGAAGAATTTGTAATTACTGTGTTCTGATCTTATATTCAGACCAAATGTCGCTTCCTTTTTGCAGTTTATACAGTACTTCATTAGTTTCTTTGTTTTCTCTGCAAGGGTATACATCCGTATCACTCCTTAAGTTACACTAGTGGAGATACAGCTACAGATTCACCAGTGCACGTTGGCCGTTCTGGAATGGCAGTCAAAGAAAGTCCAAGAAAAGAGAGTCTGCTCAGCTATCTTACTGGGAGTTTTCCTAGCCTGCATAATCTTTTGGAAGGGACTCCTCAAAGAAATACAACTGCGGTTAAAAGTAGTTCTTTAACAAGAACAGGTATGATGTAGCATAAGTAAGCTAAAGGGAGGGGAAGGGAGGGTTGATTTTATTTTAATAATTTAGAAAAGGTACTGTATTTTTCACTATGACTTATCATTTCTGTTTAAGACCCCACCTCTCTCCTCCCTCCCCCCAAATAAGAATCATAGTTTTTAACAGCAGTTCCTAGATATCGCTGCACCATACCATTTCCCAGAAGCAACAGCAAGTACATCAGGTTGGGAAAAGAAATGACAACTAGCAAAATAAATAAAATATTTTCCTTAGCTTTACTACTTTTTGAATATAATACATAATTACTTAAGTGAGTCTTTTTGAATGAATAAGGAAATGAAGTGGTCACTCTGTATTTGTCATTTTTTCTTGACCTTGTAAGTAGCTCAAAAAGTGGACTAAAACTCATGTTCCAGTAGCTTAGCTTGTGTATAAAAATTTGCAGATTTTTAGTAATGCTCTTTTGAACAAATGTGTTTTGCAGCAGTTTGAAATAGATAAATTGAAATTTTTATGTTCTATGTTACTGTTCAGAGTGCATTGTTATAACTTACATAAAGAAGTTTCATACTGCATTTTCTCTAAAACCTCTCTCCTTTGCTGTCAGGGAATGAAATATTATTCAGAAAAAAAGGTATTTCAGTTTCTTAATGACTCCTTTCCTCTAATTAATGGTAGTGATGAACAACTGCAAAGATACTTGTAGTGGAACATCCATTAGTGTCATAGTATAACTTCTGTGGTAGCACCTGTAGTGCTGCTTGACATATAATTTACTGGAATAGACCCTGAGGATTAGGCTTAATTTAATAGTAAATATGTATTGTCAGTAAAATTACGCTGTGTTCCTGGTCCTTGCTGACTTTGACACAACAAATGCTAAAGCTTCCGATTTATCTGTATAGGAAATACTGTGGCCACAGACATGTTATCTGAACATCCTTTGCTGTCTGAACCGTCTTCTGTGAGTTTCTATAACTGGATGTCCAATGCTGTGGGCAACAGAGGAAGTGTAGTACAAGAAAGTCCGGCCACCAAATCTGGACACAACAGTCTTCCAACAGGTATTGCTAATTACAGCTGAATGTAAGAGATTATTCTGGCTTAGCTGTTCCTGTGTTTACCACATTCTTTCTGAAAGTAACTGAGCAAGTGACTTTAAGCTCAACAACAAAAATATTAATTGTGGGACTTCTCAGCAAACTGGAAAATGAACAAATCTGATTTAAGCAAAACTGTTGTTTTCATTTCCCTCACCCTGTCTCCAAAAATTTAGCTTTTTCTTACATTTGGAACTGTAAATGTAGCTTCGAAAACAATGTGTAGCTGCAAAAAGCTAAACCATAAAACCATTGTTAGTTGCAGAGTTCCTTGGATTTTGTTACTTTTAATCTAATTTGCATATGCTGTTTTTGTAATGAAGATTTTGTACATTGGAATCCTTGCTCTTTCTCAGTCCAATTTTGAGTCTAAACATAAACATCTGTTTTGAGAGTAACCTTCTTCAGGGGTAGGAAGTGGTCAACTGGTGTAAAGGAATGGAGAAAATAAATACACATTACCGAAAGGCTTACGTGTATTAAAGAAACAGATGTGTAACAACTTATTGCAGCTTGCTTATTATTCTTGTAAGCCTGTCATCATTCATAATTCTCAAATGTGTGTATCTTAATTTTCATTTTCACTAACACTGAATTTGAATGTTTCTTCTATTAACAGTCTTTCAACTGTAATGTATTAATCTTAGGCAATAGTAAGTTGTTTTAATTCGGTTTTAATATTGAACAAATAGTCTGATCCTGCAAAATATCTTTGTACTGTACATACTGCTTAACTGGTGTGGCTCCTCTGTAAACTGGAATGTGTTTCTCTGCAGAAAGAGTGGTAGGGTAGAAGTATAGCTTTCAATTCCTCCCCCAACCTCCCCCCCCCCCGAAAAAGCTGTATTTTTTTTTCCTACTGAATCTATAAGAGGTTGTTCACAAACTCACCTTCCTGAAACTAAGACTTAGTGATTTTAACTCGGACACAGATCTTTCCAAACCATTTTGTTGTGGCGCTCTGATAAGTGCTATAAGCTTGCATTTTGAAGAATCAGGATTAATTTGCACTGGCAGAGCAACTCCGTCTCATGGAGTTTAGATCCAGTCCAGACTCAAGATGCAGGCGATTGAGCATCGCTCTGCCCTTGTGCTGCAAGTCCGATTGTTCATGAATAGAGCAACTGCAGGGAAGCGGCTGTCCACAGTCATTTTTATGAAGAGCATATTTGGCTAGCGACTAATCTGTAGAGATCCAATTAGTGGATCTTGCATTGGGACTAACAAAACCCAGAAGCATATAGCACATTGAAAGCTAAAAGCAAGTATCTGCAACTGTGGATGATCTTTGGGTTTTGTTGATGGTATAGGCTACTCAGCCTATAAACTATTTCAGTTTCAACAGGAGTTGAGTACCCTATAGAAGGCAATACAGACCAAAGGCCTTGGGAAGAAGAGCAAAAAGAGGGAAATATTTTTGTGCTTTCCAAATATGAGTTGGACTATCTCTATTTATTACCTGTTTTGGCAATATCAGACTGTTTCTTTATCCTGAATGCTGCTTTTGTGAGGTTACAGACCTGACTAGGACTCTGACTTTCTATGTGTATGGCATGTGTTTCTATATAATTAACCTTGCTGAATTAATAAGAGTTGTTGGTGGTAAAATTTGCTGTGGTGTTAGTGTTCCATGGGTATTTATTTTTCAGGTATGGCACCCAATCTTCCTACAATACCCTCTGCTTCAGACTTCAACACGGTTTTGTCTAGTGACCAGAACACCCTGGATGGCACACACTCACAGCACAGCACCAGCCAGGATGACATTGCAGGTGTAGAAGAGGGTAACCAAGGGTTTCCTGCTGTCCAGCTAGCAGATGCACAGGTAGGGGTGGTTTGCTGATGTGTTTTGGAGTTCTGTAGGTAAAAGCTAGTTATTACTTTAAAAAAAGAAAAATCTGACAACAATGAAAACGTAATCCTGTTTTTGTACATGTTTCTCATGCATTCCTACGCAAGGGTGAAAGGCTCAAGAAACCTATGAGGTGTCCTGTGACAAATTTTATGAATGGTGATTATAATAGAGCATTGTTTTATAACTTCAAAGAACATATTGGAGCATTTATGAGATTAACCTAGTTCTCCAGAGTACTTCTTACTGAGGGGACCATGCATAAACCTCGTTCCCATAGCTAAGCATTCAATGCTAGCTCACTGTGTAGCCAGTTTTTACTGAAGAAGTCCATAAAGCTTCTCCTTTTTATCCCCCTTCTTTCTGTTTTACAGCACTAAATTGACTTATTAAGTCAATAAGACTTAAAAATGTTTATGTAGCTGACATTCTAAATATTGTAGATCAGCAACTGATGGAGCAAGAATGTAGGAATAATCTAGACAGAAGGAGTAAATCTGTGGGTTTTGTTTTGTAGGTTGTTTTCAAACCTCTTCTAAGTTACACGGGAATTCAGTCTCAGGACGCAATGCCACTCTGCTACAGAATGTACTTTGGAGAGTACCTTTCCTTCTCAGGAACTTTGGACTGCCTAAGAGCAGATATTGTTGATTCAGATACAGCAAAGGAAAGAAAAAGCAAGCGAGCTCGAAGGTATGTTGTGAGATATTTGAAAATATGTATATTGGTTAAATTAGAGTTTTCACGTGAAGACGTAGAATTCCAAAGCACTTCCCTACAATGAGGAGCTGTCCTTTAGTCCTTTAATCTCATCTGTTTTGTCTTCCTGTTAGAATTTTTTTTTTTTTTAAATCTTCCTATGGAATGGTTTGGAAATTTTAAGTATTTGAATCTCAGCTACTTTTGAAAATTGGAGATTTGGGAAGGGAGAGCTGGTGGGAGTAATAGTGGGGGAAATTTGAGAGGTTCTTAAACACTGTTTTGTAATTAATCCTGTAAATGAGGTTGTTTTTGGTGTAAATGCTGAATCTTCCCACCACCTCCCCACTGTCCCGCCCCGCCGATTTTGGGCAAAGCTTTAGGTTATGATGGAAAGATTGCCAAACTAAGTTTACATAGAACTGAATGATTACTATGTTAGTAGCACGCAGTATGAAAGAATAAAAGTTCATTTTTTTTATATTTAGAACTATGCTAAGAAGGTGATACCCTAAGGGAAATAAAAGGTTGGATTCAGTAAATTAGATGTGTCACTGTGGAAAAAAAGTATTTGACTCCCATAAAAAGAAACAAAGTAGTAACTTGTACCTTTTCTTTCCTTAGGCAAGGAGCTGTCAACCTTCCTCCTCTTGAATTCAAACCAGCTTTGATGTTAGAAACTTTCAGTATTAGTGCTGTTGTAATGGAGAAATCCATGTGCACACCTCATAACTCCACCAATGCCCTTTCTTTTCATGACTTGAATAAACGCTATTATAATACTTTTCACTGTAACTTTACAATTTCTTGCCAGTCCATAAGCCAGCATGTAGATATGGCACTGGTTCGTCTCATTCATCAGTTCAGTACAATGATTGACGATATCAAAGCCACGCAGACGGACATCAAACTTAGCAGATACACAGCTGGATCAGCCTCTCCGACACCTACTTTTAAAACCCGCAAACACAGAGACTTCCGCTCTTCTGATTTCAGCCGAAGCTCTCGAGGAAGTCTTAATGGAGGTAACAGAGTGAACAACACCAAGAACAAACGAACAAACAATGAGAACAATAAAAAAGAGTCTCGAAACAAGAATTCCTTGGGGAGGTCAGAAAGAAGAACTTCTAAAGTGTCCAGGAAAGGTTCAAAAGATGTAGTTGACCACATGACTATTCATATGGATGACTCTGACTCTATTACTGTGTCGGAACAGAGCGAACCTTCTGCTGAGTGCTGGCAAAATATGTATAAATTATTGAACTTCTATTCACTCATTTCTGATCCAACCGGGATTTTAGAAAAGTCTTCTGAAACTTTCGGGCCAACAGGTAAACTCGTTCATGAATCCAAATAATTGAGAGTGTGTGCTTTTGCTTTAGTGTATTCTTCTAAAGCTTGATCATAAGGCAGTTTTTGAAATTTGCCCACATCAGAGGGGCAAGTGGTGAGGATTGGGGGGGAGCTTGTAATTAGTTCACCAAGGTGGTGTGCAAAATAATAAAATTATTTTCCTGGCTTTATAATATGCTTTGATTTTTTCAATCCTAGACTTTGTCAAATATGTGTTAATTGATTAGTTTTAAATTCAGTCCCTTGGTATTCTTATGCAGCTCTGTGAATCTGGATTTGCACTGGCTATGTTAAGTTAACTTTTCTGGTTAATTGTGTACAGAGTGGATTGAGTTTGTTCCTCCCTAGGTGCTGCTTTGTTTTCAAGTGGCTAATGGAAATGCTTTTTATTATAACTCTGTGAGAGTACGTAAGCACATACATTAGCGATCCTGAGGGACATAATTTCTGCCCTGGGAATGATTGAGTAAAAAAATCATCTGTGAACCTAGCTTTGAGAGAAGAAAAGGTGAAATACTGATTTTGGTAAACCCCAGCAAGGATTACAGGTGTTTGAGCCATAATTTCATCCAAAGCTTGAGATCTGGGGTGATCATTGCTCTCTATTTCCAATGTATTTTAGCACAGCAGAGCAAATTTGAGAGCTGGCTTAGCATCATTCTTTTTGTTGTTGAACTTAGGTTGCTGTAAAATATGCAGGGGATGGTATAGTTACTAGTTAGACATATTTTCTTTGGACTTCTTTTAACTAAAGAATGAAAAACTGAGAAAGTGTCAAACGAGAGCTGCTGTTAAACAGAGGGCAGTCTCTTTCATGCACAGAATATCATATCCACAGCTATGATATCTGCACAAAATGTAAATTTTCTTACGTTGTTTTTATGCTCTGAGTGTTGAAAAGGAAAACTTGCTCATCCAAAACTAAATTATAAGAACCTTTGGCTGTGAAATGACCAAAAAAGAAACAGGACAATTGGAAACTGTCAGAGCGTTTTTATTGTATAACAATAAAATCACATCAATATGAATATTTATATAGCATACATAAGAATATATCTATGAATAGTAATGATATCAAATCACTCATTAGTGTCCCCATTGTGTCTTGGGTTTGGTTCAGTTGCAATGTTGTTAGAGAGGAATAAACGAGGCACAGATAATTTGCCTAAAGAGTTGCTGAATGTGCAAGATACAGGATCCTTGGTTTCAAATACAAATATAAATCAGATATGCTAAGGATGTCTCGTAAGGTATCCTTAGATAACTCCTTTGTATTTTTGTAGGTGTTCGAAGCCCAACCGAGCCTGCCTGTAGAGTGGTGTTTGAGAATGAGCAAGATAATGGCAGAGACACGCAGAGGAAGCGCAGCCTGGTGACTTCAGAGCCGCAGCATGTGACTCTCATAGTCTTTGGGATAGGCATGGTGAACCGAACCCACCTGGAGGCAGACATTGGCGGCCTAACGATGGAATCCGAGCTGAAGAGAATCCACGGCAGTTTCACCCTGAAAGAAAAAATGAAAGGTGGGGTAAGCTAAAATGTAATCTGTGATTAAATTCAGTGGCAGCTTTACATGTTTACGTATGTGCGCATACCTATACCAGTGCGTACGTATATGCATGTGTAATAAGTTTTGTTTGTAAATAGATGTACGCTATGTCTGTGTGTGGATCGTATAATAACATTGAACAAGTTCTTTTAAAAACAATTACTAGGATGCTGAAGCATTTTAGAAGGATGCAAGATTTTCAGAAAGTGCTGTGAACGAAGTTCTTTTAGAGGATAGTCACTCCTTTCATTTTCAAAAGCTTTCTTCTTGTCACAACTTAAATTTGATATTACTTACTGTGACTACTAAAACTGTAATTTTTCAATTATTTTCCTGCTACTATATTTTTGAAAGCAGTAGGCATACCTGGAAGTATTTTACTGAATGAAATGCTCTTAAGTATTTTTTTTTCCTTAAAGATGTACTACATCAAAAGATGACTGAGACGTGTGCCACTGCTCACATAGGAGGTGTGAATATTGTCCTGCTGGAGGGAATTACCCCCAATATCCAGTAAGTATGAAGCATGACAGTTGAAAATTGTGCAAGTGCATAGAAGGTGGTATCAGTTGTGTGACAGTAAAGGTATGTAGCTTAATATGGAGAAAGCATTGATGATATGTCTTTAGGTAGAATCTGTGAAGTCAGAGTTTGGTGGCAGCCATGCGGCTGTTGCAGAACTGGGCTTGCGTTTGACTTGTAAGGCTGATTGCATGTGCCCGTCGACGGGAAGCTTTTCTATGAAAGGCCTATTTGAGTAAGCTGAGGAGGAGTACGGTGAATGTATTAGTTGGTTTCAGTCTAGGGCACCCAACTGCACAAGTCTTAGACATAGTTACATGAATATGAACACTCCTGTTGCTTTCTATTTCTAGTAAGAGATATTAGTAAGTTCAGAACTGATTGTAGGATCACAGTGTAAATGGGTAAGTGACCTGACTGAAAAATCATAGGTGACAAATCCTCTTGTAAAAAGAAATTAAATTTCATGTAATCAGAGCTTTCTGTACTAATTTTATTTCATGTGGTGTACGCATAGAATCTTTATCACATTGTGTGTATTGTTTTCTTAAGCTTTTAATAGCTTTTTGAAGCTTATAGGTTCCACTAAACCATACAAGATTTTTAGGGAGTATTTAACCTCCTGATGCCAATTATTCCCATTTAAGATCTATGTTGTTTCTTTAATAGGTATCTCTTTGAACTCCCATGATGCATGATTCTTTGTGTTATTTTTATAGTTCCAATATCCATTCTCCACCCTTTATGTAACTCTCACAACTTGGCAGAGGTGGGGGACAATCACTTTTTGTGCATGAACATCCTGAATGACTTGCTCAGCATCCACGTTGGTGTTTTGGTTTGTTTTTTTTTTTTTCCCCAGGTTCACAAACTCAACAAGGGCATGCGTTATTTTTCTTTGTTTCTAGCTGAACTTCTTTCTGTTTGAGTTGCAAAACAAAAGTTGAACTACAATTCTTTGTAACGTAGATCACCCTCACGCAGTTTGAGTGTTAGCTGGGTAACCCTCAGTATGTGATCTGGTTTTAGAATATTAATGCCGTAGAAAAGAGGATAAATAATGTGACATGAGTCTCTCTCCTTTTAATTCCTGTTTAGTTTGGAAGATGCTATATAGAACTTAAAGCATAGAGAATTTTATTAATGTCCCCAGCTAAATTGCTTCTGATAAGTGTGTTTCAGAGGGATAAATAAAAGTTCTAATCTGACAGCCGTGTAGGGTTTCTGAAGGTGACTGAGGTTCTTCATGTCTGTTTTACATCGTAATCTTACTGAGCTTCCATATAGGGAGGGTACAAAAGGAAAGGTGGAAGATAATAATAAATCTTTAACAGCAGCAGCAGCAAAGAACAAACGCTAACAAACCCAAAACCTTCAACTTGGTAAATTTGTAAGTAAGTGTCATATTGTGGGTTACAAGTAATTAACTGACTAATTTTGCATGAATGTTTATTCTTTATTTGCTTTGTTTTTGTTTTTCTTGCTTTCTCTTCAATCTTCATCTGTAGACTGGAGGATTTTCCTACATCTCCTACAAGCACAGCCAAACAAGAGTTTCTGTATGTCATATTATTATGTTTAATAGTCTTGCAATTAACTCTGTGTTGTGTAGCTAATGGCTGCATTCCTACTGTGTGTGATTGTGTAGGCAGATGTTGCTTGAATACATTTTAGCTTAACATCTAATATTACCTAGATAAACTTTTAATGTAGCCTGCTAAATATCTGTCAAAAAAGCCCTTGTAAATGTTAACAGAATAGCTTTAGGGGCAGATATTACACTATACGGTCACTACTGTAATGCTAGAACGGTTTCACTGGCTGTTAAGTTCTTTAGATCTGCTTCTGTGCCTATTTAATGTGGTGAAATAATGCTGATCGATGTAAAGGAAGAGACAGGTTAGATTTGCTTTGAACTTGGTAAGGAGCTGCTGTGCTTGGAGTGACAGTACCCGTTGTGATTTCAGCATGACGAGGACCATTCCTTTTATCTTTCTTTACCTCTGTGCTGGGTTTAATTACTAGGCATGCTGCCTAGGTCATGCTAATGCAAAATATTTTCCTTAATACTATGCCTGTGCATCTGCTGCTAATGAAGGTGACCCTCTTCATGTCCCCCAGATCAGTATGTGTGAATGTAGGTCAAAAGATGCAATGTTTTCTTTCTAGTTGCTTTCGAAGCCCAGAGGGTCTCACTGGAGTAGTGGTCAAGGTGGGAAATGGTACGCTGGCAACCTAGAAGCCCCGTTACACAATGACCCTGCACTACTCCGAGAAGAAAAGTTATGTAGCCAAAGTAGTGAGGCTGATCTTTTTTTTTCTTTTTTTTTTTTCTCCTTTTTTCCCCCCAAAGCAGTATTCTGAGTATGGGTTTCTTTTGCTGCTTTACACCACCAGTGCATATCTTTCAGAAGGACTTAGTACGATGGCTGTTTGTTACAGCATTTGTGCATATTCAGTGTTGTGATAATACAGGATTAACTTTAAAATGTCCTTATATAGATGGTAGCTCTGGAAGGAGAGGTGATGGACTGTAAAACTGCAAGTGATATAAAGAAAATATTCAGGGGTTTGTTCCTTTTTGTCTTGTAGCAACATTAAACCAGGAAAATAAAGTACTTTTTTGCATAGTGCGTCACTATTCACTTGAATTCTTTTCCATATGATGTGGTCAACAAAAGTATAAATTAATAAAAGGATTGGACAAATCCGTGTATGATAGGTCTGGTGGTGAGTCACGAACACAATACAGCCTCTGGCTCAAAAAGTAAACCCCTGATGGCTGGAATTAGGGGAAGGATCACTTGTTTATGTCCTAAGTATCTGCTACTGCCCAAATTTTCATCTGACTCAGTGTGGTAGTTCCTGTGTGTGTTAACGGGCCTCCTGCTGATGTTTCTTCCCCCATTTTTCTAATGTTCCCAAAAATCTGTTAGGTTGAGTGGTGGCCTTGTAGCCAGTTCTGTACTGAGACAAGGACTTCATTCACAAGTTTGTCTAGAGAGTGATTATTTATGGAATTGATGCGAGAACTTGGAATTGCTTCTGAATACATCACTGGTATATAACTTAAATATCGATTAATGATTTTAATGATACTCAACCAGATGTGTTATAGGCATACCACCATAGGTAAGCAAACTGCAGATATATAATGTGCAGTGCTCATTCCAAATAAATGTATAGCCACACAGTTGTCCTGCATTTCATCCCATCATGGAAGTAGGCTTTTTGTAGACCAGACAAGTGACAGTGAAATTCATTCATTGCATGAAATAACGGAAATACCTTAGCAGAGAAGCACAGTTAATCTTGCTGAAACCTGATTCTCCTGTGACAGCTATATTGGTGTAATTTTTTTTAATTAAGGAAGTGTTTAAAATGGTATGAATTCACATGTTCAGAATTGATTGTACAGACTTAAAAGTAAATGTAGTTGGAGTTAAACTTCTACACAGAGATAGGCTAAGACTAGACTGTCTGTCCGGTACAGGTCAGGAAGAGATCTTGGAGCTTCCCTTAAGTTGAAAGTTGTTCTTGAGATGGTTGAATAGCTAGCTACTGTAGTAGTGTTTTGTGTACAGATGGGGGAAGAAAAATGTGTTCTTGATTGGCTTCACGATAATTCTGTCAGAATGGTAGCAGAAAGAGAGTAGAAAATAAGCAAACATCAACAGAGAAAGAATAGTGTGTTTTTCTTTTAAAGAGGTGGTTTAAAATAAGTCTGCCCTTTTCTTAAGTAATGTTCGTTTGTATAATGTTTTTCTGAAAGTACTTGTGAATTAAGATTTGTTTCCTCTTTCATATTTGTGTAAATTCTTCAAATATTTTGAAATGGTTTCTACTTGACAGTCTACCCTAAAGTATTAATTCATAACTGCTTTAGGTTGCTTGTAGCTCTTGCGTAGCTGTGAAAATCTGAAAAATGTTTCTAGAGCTTCAGTAAACTAATCTGCTGTTGATAGGCCTGTGGCTGCATTACAGTGCTGTGTATTTCTTCATTATAAGCAGAAGGATGATGTCTTTTTTTTTTATTTATTTTTTTTATTTCCACATCTGGGATGCTTTGGGCTAGCTGATACCTTAACATCAGCGTAAGGCCCTGTGTTCCCTGTGTTAGGGCTTCACAGAAGAAAGATTACTTAGGGAGCAGAATTCATAGAATATTGTAGCTTTCACCATGAAACCAAACTGTCTACAGAACAATTTAAATCATGACACAAAAAGTATTTTAGTTATGCTCCATAAAATTTAGTATTTAAGAAAGTTTCATTGAATGTTGCAATTTTATAGAGTCTGGTTTTCAGACATTTTAGCTAATGTACTGCATCTTCACAACTATATGTCTTTCTCTTTGAGGCTGTAATATGCTGTGTTGGCTACATAATATACTCCCATTGGGTAACCCTCCAGTAATTGACCTTAGATGAGAATCATTATTGTGTTACCCCATGTATCTTTTTTAATAGGAGCTTAGTGAATTCTGATATGCCAAAATTTCATTCTGAGATCAAAAACTGTCAGCTTTGTGCAGTTGTATCTTTATCTGGGGTAACCAGTGTGAACCATATCCTCCTTAATATTAAAATAAAGTTTAGATTTCATATTTTGGAATAGTATGTGTCAATTAAATGTCAGTTAGCTGTGTATTTATTGCTAAGTGACTGTTTCCTCCATTGATGTTTTTAGATGCTAAAATCAGATTTTACTAAGCCTTCTTATGAAAAGATGATTTAAGATTATTCCTGAAAAGGTGTTGAAATGGAAGGCTCTTGTTTCCGTGTGTGAAAACTTGTCTGTGTATGTGCAACCTATTGTGTATAAACTCAAATGATCTTACATTATGCAAGAATAACAGTTTAACAGGTATTTTTGCAATGCATGACTTGTAGTTTTCTTAAATGTACTGTAGTTGTTTGTGGCATGTAGTGCATCTGTGTGTGTAAAGTGAAAGAAAAAGGAATGTGTATGTAGTTTATAAACAAAATCACTTATATGAATTCTTCAGAATTCAGCTAACGCTTAAAAACCCATTTTAACATAAAGCTGTAACTGTTTTGAAAGACATGCAAATAAATCCTGTTTCCTTTTCTGATAGAACTGTCGTGAAATGCAGTATTGCCAAATCCCAGGCCCTGTATAGCGCCCAGAGAGGGTTGAAAACAAACAACGCCGCTGTGGTCAAAGTTGGAGCCATCAGCATCAACATTCCTCAGCACCCTGCCACGCTGCACAGCATGATGGTGCGCAGTTCTCACCAGCTCTCCAAGCAGATTTCGGATCTCATCAGGCAACCATCAACTGCGTAAGTGCTGCTTGCACGGCACTTCTGAATGCTGCCGGCTGCTATCTGTTCATGGGCTTGCGCTCCTTTGAAAATATGTGGGGAGAGTCAGGCTAGCCGTATATCATGTTAGACTAACAAAAAGCATTTTCTGATCTTTGTCTTGGTAAATAGGCCCCAGCCTACCAAAGAAGATGTTGCGACTCCTTTGCCCTCTGAAAAGACTCCAACGAGTATTAATCAAACACCTGTTGAAACAAATGAATTCCCGCAGCTGCCGGAAGGCTTAGAAAAGAAGCCTATAGTTCTTAAATTCAGTGCCATGATAGATGGTATAGCTATTGGAGCAGCGCTCTTGCCCTCTCTAAAGGCAGAATATAAGATGGGAAGAATGAGGAGTCACGGAATGACAGGTAACAGTTCTCTGAAACTTTAAAAACCTTATGGCTTTTAGTTTGGCCTTGCTAGAAGCATCCAAGAGGACTCGATATTTCTGTTGAATTATAGCTAGAGCTTTGAATCTGTTGCTATCGGCTTATTTTTTTGAATGTGGACTTCAATCAGATGGGGCCTTATAGAGAATTTAGACTATTGTTATACATGTTGCCAGAGACAGAATACAAGGGCAGATGAAGACATGTATACGTTCATATATAGTTTCCTTCCAGGAAGCTTCCCTCTAACCGGTAAAATCAGTTTATGGTCCTTGGTTGATTAAATTCTGATTTGTAAAGCTACTTGAGTATACTCTTATAGGGCCTCAGTACAGATGAGGTGGTTTGTATGACTCCCTTCTCCATCTAATTACAGTGAAGTCTTCATTTTCTTTAAAAATTTATAAAACCCAGAATCATGCGGGTGGATATTTATAGCTCTAGAGGTCTGTGCACTTCAATAACATTGTAAAGATTTTTTTTTTTTAATTTGAAAAGAGTTCTTAGATTTAAGGATAAATAAAAGATTTTTTTTTTTTTTTTTTGCCAGCTCATGCCTTTTCTTTACCCGTCTTTCTTTTACAGGTGCCCAAACTAGATTTAATTTTGAGCTTCCAAGTCACAGACTGCGCTTCACTTCCAAAGTCTCTGCCACTGATATGTCAACCATTCCTCCTTCGGCAAGTCTCAACCTTCCTCCTGTCACGATGTCAGGCAAATATATCATGGAAGAACATGATACCTACTCAGACCAAATTTGGAGCATAGATGAACTACCTGCTAAGCAAGGCTATTATCTACAGGGGAACTACTTACGTTGTGTGGCTGAAGTAGGTGTTGAAGATGGTAGTCATCTTTGATAACTTGTTGAGTTATTTCTATTCTGTTACATTTCTGTATGTACATCTTCATACTATTTTAATAATCTGCCTACTCCAGAACTCTCAGGTTTAGAGGTTGATCCAAATACAGCATTGTAATTTGTAACTTCAGTGACACTGAAATAGAACTTTCTCGGTTTGATGAGCAGCCAACATATTAAGCAGTCAAGACTACTATATTGGAGGATTTTGAATATGTTATTTTGTGCAAATAAATAAGGAAGCTATGTTTAGAAACTTTTTTTTTGGAATGACATTATTTCTCATCAGCGAAGCAGACAAAAGTATATTATGCTGATGATTCAAATAAAGTGTAATTTTAAATTGAAAGCTTATGCTAACACATCAGATAATATACATTTTGCAAAAGGAAATGCTGAAAAATTTAAAAACAATTTTATTGTTTTATAACTGTTTCATTTTTTCATGGTTAGACAGCTCCATAGATAGGAGAAGCTATATATAACCTTAGCAGGCGATACAAAATTTTCCATTCGACACAGTGTGTTCTACTCACAAGTTCTATTTGTGTGCTAATTTCCACAGTTACTTTTCACAGAAAAGTGATGCTGCTTAAAAGAAACCTAGCTGGTGGGGAAAAGCAGGGCAGTTCCACTAACCATATGTCTTTAGTCAGAAAAATAGTCTAGCATGTTTGTAATTGAGACTTCTGATGTTTGCATCTTTATAGGAGAAGTTTAGTTAGGTGCTGCTCTTTGTTTAAACCATTTGAGTTATTTCCTGGCTAAGGAAAGACCTTAGGGTCTTTGAATTTGTTCAGCATGTAAAACAAAATGGAGGGGCTGCTTAGCAAAGGCAAAAGCCAAGTCCAAGTAGTTTTAGAAAATATCTGTATTTTAATTTTATTTTAAAAATCTTAATGGCAAATTTAAGCAATCTTAGGCAGATTCCAGCTCCGAAGGAGTATTCTTTAAAATTAGATTGGACATATAAGTTTACCATTGAAGATATCAGTAAACTTGTTCATCTATGGTAACTGGAATAATGTACTTTTAGACGTTGACAGCTCATTTCTGTTTTGTTCTGATAATGATCTATTATCTGTAATTAAGTAGCATTTTGCATACTTCCATGAACCTTAATCAAGTCCTGCATTTTATTGTCTAAGCTAAACTTAAGCAAGAGAATAAACTTTTTCATATAGTAGTGTATGTCCTTCAGTTTTCTGAGAGGCATTCACAGCAGAAGAATTGCAAGACAAAACTATTTAATATTCTTTTTTTATGCCAATAACAATATAATTGGACTTGAAAAGATATGCCTGAAAACTAAAAATGCATTCTTTTGAAAACGTAGGTATGGTAACTGGTTTAAAGTTTTGTTCTAAAATTTTATATTTCTGCAGGTTGGTTCCTTCGAACATAATCTCACAACTGATCTTTTAAATCATTTAGTGTTTGTGCAAAAAGTGTTCATGAAGGAAGTAAATGAAGTCATACAGAAGGTTTCAGGTAAGCAGAACACTTAAAACCAAGTTTAAGATCGATCCTTAAACCTTGTTTGATGGCAACATTATACAGTTCTCTGGATCAGCTATTTATTTCACAGACACCATCCTTTTGCATCTAGGACTCCAAGCAGCAGCAAGAAGCAAGCGGCAGAGCTGGAGTTTGAAGGAATAACAGAGGCTCTGGAAATTTTTGTAGCTCTATCAGAAACGAGACGTTTTATTGGGAAGCAGGGTAGTTTGTCATTCTGGACGCTAGCCTCTGTGTCTGTCTATGACATGACCTTGGCTGGGTTACTTTCTGTATTCACTTTGTTCACCAGTAAAATGCAGGTTGTGATACTGCATTTTCTAAAATAATGTCAGCATATTCTTTCAGAGGAAAACAGCTGTGTCTGGGGAAAATAGTGTCAATATTGGTATTAGTGTCTCCTGATTCCTAGCTCTTTGGTTCTTTGCAGAGAACGTGTTTAAGAACTGTATGAAAAGGGCATTTGGCTGTTCATTAGATTGTTTTGTGTATCATGCTGTGTACTGCAGAAATGACTGTTTTGTTTCTGTCATTTAGGCTGGCTTCTGTTCTCAAAATATTTTCAGAAGAAAAATGGCATTGTCATTAAAAACCCAATTAGAGAACAGTTGCAAGTCACGCAGTGCTGTCTCTTTTGCAGTATGCAATGGAAATTGCATACTGAATTAATCTGTTTGAGTAGATGGCCAAATTTACAAAACATTTCTTTTCTTACATAAAAAACCCCTCTATCTGACTGAATCGCAGGTTTCACAGCATTTAAAAATAGATCCACTCACTTTCTAGTTCTTGCTCTTAGAGGCTTGGTCTGTGTTCAAGAACTGAGAGCAAACCAAAAAGCTGGTAACTTGTGCCATGCAATGATATTGCACTCAGCAAACAAATTCTATCACCCTACACACTGGAAAATATAGTGCAAAATGATACTATTTTTTTCTGGTATGTGACTACTCTGAGGGGAAGTGTAAGGACTGGAAGCTGTGTTTGACACTAGTTATTGTTTGGTAGTTTTAAAAAAATACAGGAATATAATTTACTGTGGATGTTACATGATGGATGAGGAGATGAACAAAAAAATAAGTAAAGAACTGTAGGAGTGTTTTGTTGTTCTTCAGGTCAAAATAAGAATTGGCAGATGGGGATAAACAGTAAATGAATTAGAAAAAGGAAAAGCAATAATTAAGAAGTATTGTCTGTCTGTTAAGAAATAATAATGAAAAAATCCAAAAGGAAGTAAAATAACCAGAGGAAATAAAGGGAATATGAATTTTATTAGTTATGTTTTTAGAGGAAGAAGGATGTATGTTTGAGACAGAATGTTGCAGGATGACAAATGTGAATAAATATTCAAAAGCAGGTGAAATTTCAAGTAGTTTGATTTTACCACTTTTTGAGTTAGCCTAAAAGCCTATTATAGAAATACAGCTAATTTTTAGTGGAAAGATTCATTAATAGTTGGAAACATCATGAGGATAGATAGAGATAAACCAAAGATACAGACAAACCAAAAAGTGGTAACTAAGTGAAAGGAGTGTCTGTGTGTGCCCCTACACACTCCTTTCATACACGTCTCTCTGTGTGCATAGATATTCATGCACAGAAAAGTACATAAAAGACGTGCAGGTCCGGATGACATGGCCTCAAGGGAGTTAGAAGATGCAGTGGAGAAAATGGCAAATGTCAGAATCCCTGAAGGGTAAGAAGAAACAAATTTTAAACAACCTTGTTCCAGGCAAAATATATTAGCATTGGGTAGTAAGAGAACACTTTGGGGAAGAATCAACCTTCAACAGCTGTCATTATTCTATTAGAACAATTTTTATAGAGGAGCATAAAGTGGTAAAACAGGAAACCTATATTAGATTTCTTTTACAACATTTTTCAGTCTCTAGAGTTCGATCTCTCCTCTGTTTTTATGTGAGGAATTTATTACCATTGCTGGTTCTTTGCTTTTCCAGACTATAAATTTGTATTGCACATAGCAGCCTGGTGGTTTTTGAAATGTGACTGCTACCTTCTATATTGTGGCAATTCAGCGGGAACGTGGTCAGGTGCCAGCAATCCATGGGTCTGGGTGCTGAATGCAGAACTATGGGGGCAGAAAATTACTTCTGTCATTCTGGCTTGCAGCAAAGTAATCTTCATGGCTTGAAAATTTCAATTAGTGTAATACAGCAAAGTGGGGTTTTTTTATTACGGTTTCTGTTGCACTTAAAATACTGATTGCATATTACCCTTATATAAAAACTGGATAAGTACTTAAGGTGAAGTTGCACAGGTTAAAAGCTAGTTAATGAACAGAGCAGTTCATAATAATTCCATCTGCAAGTTGAGGGCAGTGTTGATTTAAAGACAGCTGGTGTACGCTTTCAAACTTGTATCACTTTTTGCACTGGTTTTATGTAAAAATTCAAATCCAACTTCTAATTTAGTTTCATTCAAGAAAATTATGCTCCTTTAAGTGAGAGGGTAGATGGAGAAATTTTATTTAAAAGTAATATCTCTTTTCTTCTTTATTTTTTTTTAACTGATAAATGCTTTACAAACTTCATGAAGAAATGTCATTGCAAAAATAGCCTCTAACATGCATGTGGAGAATATATGAAAGATGAGTTAATTCTCTTGCTCAGAACCCTTAGGTTACCATTGTAGTTTTACATGTCCCTAGTTAAGAATATTTGGTGGGGGGGAAATAAAAACAACAAAAAGAGGAGGTGGTTATTGAGACTATTTGGAGAAGAAAAACGTCCAGATACAAAATGGAGTGATAAAAATTTACTGTTGTTGGTGGTTTGGTTTGGTGGTTTGTGGGTTTTTTTCTTCTTTCCTTAATCCATGATTTAACTGCCTATTCTTACCACCAAATAACTGTAATTAGAAGAGTTGGCATATATGGAGAGAATTAATGGCTTAGCCTTTTCTAGCAGCAAGCCCTTCCTATAAACTAAAATTGAATACAGATCAAATCTCAAGGAGATTTGATGTTAAAGGCCTATGGGGATATGTAACTTGGGATGAAATGTGCCGGGATGAGGAAGTAAACACAAAAATAAAATAACTGCAGAATACTCTTCCCTCCTGTCATTGAAAAATACTGATATAATTGCAATTCCTCTTTTCATGCAATTTGCATGGTATTCGGTCAAGTGTTTAATTTTTATTGTCAGATAATTAGGAAATACATTGGCGCAGGAAACAAAGAATATCTTTTTGAAAACTAGGTGTTACTTCTTACAGGCTTTGAGCCTTCCTGTTGAAAGTTTCCCAGGAGGGAGGCACATGACTCTCTGCTTCGATTTTTAGTAGAGAGCTATTAACTATATGTTACAAGCTGAATCTGCACCGATGTCTTCCATCTTCAACCTATATTTGTTTTTATAAATCTTCAACTAGTCACTGTTTAAAATGAGGCTTAATTCACTGTCACCTCTTTTTAATATCTGTTTGTTTTAAAATGTTTTCTTTGTTAAAACCCTGAATGTATATATTTAATGTGTACAGGAGGGGAGCAGCCAATACCTCTTTGGAATGAACATGATGGCACAACTGATGGAGAAAAACCAAAAATTCTTCTTTACTCATTGAGCCTACAGTTTAAGGTAATCTTAGGATGACAGAACAGTGGTCCTAGATGTTATTAAAGGCTTTTGGGTTTTTACCTCAAAGCTTATTGAATCAGGAATACTCTGCATGAAGAAAAAGACCTTGAGTTTGGTTCCTGTAATCTTTTAAAATAGTTTAGTGGCTTTGGGTTGTGAAAAACAATTATGTTGTCTTTTTTGCTGCACAGTGCAAAGGGTTTTTTGTTGGGATGGGGTTTTTTTTTTTCCCCTTTCTCTTTATGTCTTTGAACCAGATCCTAATAACTTTGCACCTTCCTTATTTATTAGGGAATTCAAGTGACAGCTACAACTCCCTCAATGCGAGCTGTGAGATTTGAAACTGGATTGATAGAACTTGAACTCTCAAACAGACTGCAAACCAAAGCAATGCCTGGAAGTAGCAGCTACCTCAAACTGTTTGGGAAATGCCAGGTGGATTTAAATCTGGCACTAGGACAGATTGTTAAACATCAGGTGAGTGCTCAGCATCTTTGCATGTGGTGTTCTTAAATAGTGTGTGATTAAAAAATACATAACCAAGCCAAGAGGCTGTCTTATACTGCTGTTTTTTTCCTGATCTGGCTGTGGAGTGGGTGTAAAGTGTAGGGGAGCTAGGGAGGGTGTTGGTTTTTTGTTTGAGATTTGTTTTTTATTTTTTGGTTGGTTGTTTTTTTCAGCTTGTTTTCTTCCTTTTAGAAAAGTTTAAGCATTCTGCAGCGCACAGTTGTAGAAATTTACTTCCTGAATATGCTCTCATATTTTGTTAAATAGTTGTTAAAAAAATTTTCTTACTTGAGTCAAGAAGGGACTAAAGATGACTTTTCAGAAGAATTAGCAAGTCTTCATTATGAAGGCAAGTGTACATGCATAGAAGATGGAAGGACTCAAGTATGGGCTCTCTTGCCCCACCCCCTGCCCCCGTACTATTAGTATCTTAGAACTTACTAGCCCTTTGCAACAGTAATGGCCTTGCTACTGAGTCAAATTGAAAATTTTTGTTGATATTGCTATTATTCTTAGGGTACATGAATGAAATAATAAGATCAGACAAGATCCAGACTTGGCTAGACCTATATTTTGACCTAGTTTGTCTGTCTTAGTTTGACACTGGTATCTCTTGTATTCTTAAACCCACCGTTACCTGGAATCACTAACTCTATGATATGAAAATGTTTTGTGATGTCTAGAAACAAACAAATACAAATCTTAGAACCTATAAATATACTGTCATAATAGAAGATCTGGACATATAAATAGTTATTTTAGTTAACATTTTATGATAAATAAGGAAAATAACACTGCAGTCAGAATTTAATGTAAGAAAATTGAATATCCCCAAAGGAACTTTGGCTAGAAGAGAAAAAGGGGAAAGGAGACATCTTTACTTCTTGTTCTAATTTTACATTTTGTTAAATGCAATAATTTGATTACTAAACCCCCCCCCCCCCCCCCCCCCCACCCCCCCCGCCAATCCTGGGCTCAGACTGTGCTCTCTTGCCTGCTGCAAACCTCTCCCCCTTCCCATTTTTTGAACATTTTAAGGTTTATGAAGAAGCTGGCTCAGACTTTCATCAAGTTGCCTATTTCAAGACAAGAATTGGATTAAGAAATGCTCTCCGAGAAGAAATCAGTGGCTCATCAGACAGAGAAGCTGTGCTCATTACTTTGAACAGACCAATTGTTTTTGCTCAGCCTGTGGCCTTTGATAGAGGTATTGAAGAGACAATTGCTACTAATTTGTTTTTATATTGAGGAAGCTATATATTTTCTTCCAAAGAGGCTTGATTATCCAAGCTTTAGTATATTTCATGTTAAATCAAAATATTAGGTAGCTGAGCAATTTACGAGATCTACTGCATGCCAACAGGTTAATAATTCCTAATGTCAAAAATTCCATTTGCTGAGGTGATTAGTTTTCAGATGGTTTGGAGGAAGTTGCTTTTGTAAGTCTTCGCAAATGAATAATGCTGAGAACAGCATTGCTTTCTGTATTTTAATGTGTTAACTTCAATGCTGAATGATTGGCTCTGTCCATCTTGTCCTTTGCAGCATGAGCCTCTTCACTACATCCTGACTATGTGTGTGTGTCCATTGTTGTACATCCACTGTCTTAAAGTAATGGAGAAACCATAAAAATGAAAAAAATACCTTTACTTAGTCAATGTGTGCTGCTTTTTGTATGTGTTGATTTCAATTGAGCATTTCTGGTTTCTTCACAAAGCTGTGCTATTTTGGCTGAACTACAAGGCTGCGTATGACAACTGGAATGAACAGAGAATGGCTTTACATAAAGATATTCATATGGCCACAAAAGAAGTAGTAGATATGCTGCCTGGAATCCAACAAACCTCTGCGCAGGCTTTTGGGACCCTCTTTCTTCAGCTGACTGTCAACGACCTGGGAATTTGCTTGCCCATCACAAACACACCTCAGGTAATCAAAATGTCTGAAGCAACGTGACTATTAGTAGTCTGTTGAAATATCCATTTGTATGTGGTGCATGGCTTTTATGTCCATAAATATAATTTTTCATCACACCAACACAAAAGTCATAGGGTGTTCATAATTGCACTAGTGACATTGGTTGTAATAGGAATGGTGTTCTCATTTATAGAAGAACTAGGTTATGCATGTTTCAATTGGTGTGCGTGTTTTGGGGAAACGTAATGGATTCTTGTTTACACCACGTATGAACTCAGCACTTTGGAAAGTCCTTGGAAATGTTTCAGATGGAACATATTTTCTTGAAAGCTTCCATCACAAATTCCTCTCAGTCCTTTATTTTTCATATGATTGTAGATAGAAAACCTCTGAAAACTGTTGGCTTTAACATGATGTTCTGACTTGTTTGTTTAATTAAAACAAGGAATGAGAGGATGAATAACTATTTGAGATATATAGAGACCTGTTTTTCAAACAGTTAATTTTATTTAGGAACTCAGGCTGGGTTAAAGAAAGATATTTAAAATGCAGTCATTGACAAAGAGTATATCATTGTAGAACAGGGTAAGTCTAATATGTTACACAGGATGATGTATTCTTTAATGTGCAGTTAACTAGTTTCTGTATCAAAGTAATGCCTACATAGTGCAGTGTGTTAATGCAATTTGTGCTGTAAGGGAACGTGCACTGCATTATGTTTCTGGAACACCTTCAAGTCTTAAGTTTAATGATGAGTGGCTGAGTAATGCATTCCCAGGATAATGCTTTGTGGCCATGCAGCTGCTCCTTCACTGGCTGTGCAGTTTGCTGAGTTTCTTGACAACCAATGCAGCATGAACCAATACAGCATGATCCAACACATTCACCAATTTGACATTTAGCTCTGCGTATTGATTCTTTCTTCAGGTAGATAGGAAAGTACCTAAATCAGTGACCTAGCTTTCTTGAAAATCTGTTTATTCTCTGTTAAGAAACAATTCTGTGCAGACCCGTATTCCCTCTGTTCTTCCTTCCTTAAAAATGACTGCAGTTATGCCTGTCTCTTCGTATATAAGGTGAAGGGGTGATCTGTACCTCTTGTGTAAAATTGAAAATACTACATTGCCAGCTGACAGCAATTTAAAAATTACACGAAGCAGTGGAACATTATTAGGATCGATAGTGTTAGATGGCTTTGAGAGAAAACCTTGGATTCAGAGACTGTTCCAATGTTGAACTGGGAGTATTCTTAATGGAGAATAATTCCAGAACAGGAATGAATCATTTTAATGATGTAGAAGCAAATAGTCATAATACATAGAAATGTAAAGGAGTAATGAGGCCAATAACCTAGATGTCATAATGACATAACATGTTGATTGTGAATCTTCTGTCTGGCAGCTATGGACAAAGCAGATGGTATTTTATGCTCTTACATTTTACAAATTATAGTAAATTATGAAAAATACATTCTGGTTTATGAAGTCTTAAGCTGTGTATAGAAGAGCATCTTTACTGTATTTATGCTGGATCAAAAGAAGTCTAGCTTTATAAAAGGGAATATGTGGGCTTTCTTTTTTTTCAGGTGAACAAAGTTATAGACCTTCATATACAAAGGGCTGGAAAATAATCAGTCAGTCTATGTATTTAAGACTCTGCATAATTGTAGATATCAAAATAAGCACAAAAAATGATGTAAAAATTAAAACTACTTTTTGTCATTTTTTAATCAACTCATGTGCAGCCCTTCTTGGAGAACAGAATCAACCCTGGGCTTGTGTTCTGTGGTCATGGAGCCATATGGTTCACAGCCCTTGATCATGTAGTCCTTATTCAAACACAGATTTTCTTTCCTTTTCCAGATGAGCTCAACTCCTGGTGCCCTAATATATTTACAATGTAGGTGTTGCATTTACAAAACAACAATGCAAGAAATTGTATGGATAGATGTGATGCTTTTGAAACTTTCTGCAGAAAAGGAAAAATACAAGGAGATACGAGAAGGGGATCAGTTTTCTAATAGGGAAATATAAACAGCATTTAACGCATGTACAATATCACTTTGACATTGCAATGACCAGCAAATTCTCTCTGTGATTTTATTTTCCAGTCTAACCACAGTGCAGATCTTGACACTGGCTCTGCTTTAGTCCTGACTATTGAAAGCACATTAATCACTGCCTGCTCCTCAGAGTCTTTAGTTAGCAAAGGTCATTTTAAAAACTTCTGTATCCGCTTTGCTGATGGCTTTGAGACAAGTTGGGATGACTGGAAACCAGAAATAAGAGGAGATCTAGTCATGAATGCATGTAAGTGGGTGTGATTTCATACTGGACAGTAGTTCAGATACAAATCCACTTTTACCCTTTCCCATGACTTCTAAAACTGCTGAGCTTTCCCCAGAAAGATCAAGAAAAGACTTTGGCCTTTTGAAAGCAAAATAATATGGATCTAAAAGATTGTATTCCTTTGTTGTTTTCCTTTATTAATAACTTTGCTGCTATATGTCTCATTGGAAGCATTTAAGTTCTGTCTGACAGATGTTGGAAGAGTTGGATGCGTTGCTTTTATATAATTTTGTAAGATCCCAGTAAATTTTTCATAGTTTAATATAGATGATTTTCATTTATATATATCTATCTTTCATTATGGTGAAGATTCTAGAATTTATATGGAATTTTAAGTTGGTATAAATTTGGACATTATCAATTAGATTCACTTTACTGAATAAGAAAAGTCATTCAATGGGAATTAAAACTAAACCTTCTATCTAACACCACTCGTGCTTTAATTGTGGAGGGCAAGAGGCTGAGGTGGAATTTGGAAGGGCGGGTCTAAAGCAACTTTGCCTGTCTGCCTAATCAGTATATGTGCTTCATACAGGTGTTGTGCCAGATGGTACGTATGAAGTATGTTCTAGGACAACAGGACAGGCTGCAGCAGGTAATACACTTTTTAAATCAATCCAGTCCTGTATAAATAAAGCACTCATAAAATATGAAATTTAAATCCTTTAACTGTGTTGTAGTTTAATTGGTGGTTTGGGTTTTGTGTTTTGTTTAGTATCTTGTTTTCCTGGTAAAACTCTTTAATATTTTTATCTGCTCTATCTTTTCGAGCTGTTCCAGGTTTTGAGTCACATCAGCAACACTGGTTTTAAAATTTTACCTGCAGGAAAACACACGGTGTATATGTGTTTGTTCCTGGGTTGGAGATTAGTCCTTTATAGCAGCAATGTGGTCCTACTGCTTCCTGTCCTAGACACTGCTAAATCTTCTAGTCCTTCTAATGCTGAGACTTTGCATTCTGAGCTTCCGTTCCTCCCTCATTCCAGAGGTGGCTTCTATTCTTCCCAAACTCCCTCTCTTCCCAGTCTTTCCTACTGAATTGTTTGGATATTCTCCAGAGGCCTCAAAAATACTTGGCAGTCTGTCTTGGTCATCATACCTGCTGCTTGCTTCTACTCATCTCTTTGCCCAAATGTTGCATCTACGGTGTCCCCTGTCCCCATAGTTTTGCTCATTGTCCCTCGCTTGCTTTTTTTGTGCTGAGGAGACATAAAAGAAACACATGCTGCAACTGTTAAAAATTTACCTCACGTGGAATTGTGAATGGTGAAAACTAGGATGACTCCATTTAGAAGGAAAAACAGTATCTTGTGTAGTTCTGCTTAAAGCAAGTTCTGTATTTTGATGCTGAAAGGTGGCGCCCATTAGAAATATCCTGGGAAGACAGGGTATTCAGCAGGCACGTTACAGGTATATTATAACATCTTCCAACATGATTATTCAAGACTTGAAACTGTAAATAGGTCAGCATTTTTACATGCAGCTAGACATCCTTTAGACATCCTTTAGGCTTCTTGCTGTTAGAAATTCTGTTCTGGAATAGTATACTTAGCTGCAATTGTAAGCTGAAATTTGAGATGCTCTCCTGCGGTCATCAGCTTGGCTGAAGGGAATGTATTTTCATTAGGATTGTCTGTGTACATCACTCATTAAAGAAATACTAACTTTGTAGCTGTAGTACTTTCAGCATGCATTTCAGTTGCAGAATACGTTTTCCTCAGAGCGGGCAGAAAAAAGACACTTCTTTGTAACTGATAAACACTGTCTTGGCTAACCAATACCTAACTCAGTACATGAGACTTTTTAGAAGAGGAAAAACTGATTAAACTTTTTTTTTTTTTTAAATACAGAAAGTAGTAGTGCTGGAACCTGGACACTGAATGTGTTATGGAAGATGTGTGGTATTGATGTCCACATGGATCCAAACATTGGGAAAAGATTGAATGCTTTAGGCAACACCCTCACAACGCTGACAGGGGAAGAAGATATTGATGATATTGCTGACCTCAACTCTGTAAACATAGCTGACCTTTCAGATGAGGATGAAGTTGACACTATGTCTCCCACTATACATGCAGTAAGTGAATCAACCAAAATAAATGCTACTGATTGGAAAAGGCGTACCAAAGTCTTCAGTCAAATGGAAAGATCTTAGTCTTGAGTCCAGCATGCTACTCCTTATAGCTCATATAACTGTTGATGCAAATCAAAAAAGTTTGTGTGTTAGTTTTCTAACTCCGTATTTCAAACGCAAGAAGTCACAGATCATATTTCTACTGGTGTTATGTGGAAATATCGATCCGGATTTGAAAATATGGAGACACAATACCTAATTTCAGGTAACTGAATTGGAAAAGCTGTGACTGTAGATAGGTTTTCTTAACAGGAGAGTAAGTTGCTAACATGAGCAAATTAGAAACAATTCTTTTTCAGTTTACCTTGCTTTTTGGTTTCACATAAAAACATTTTAACAGATGTTCTTTAATGGCTGTCTTAAATAGCCAACAGTGAAAACGTTATCCCAGAACACTAATGTGCCTGTTTGTTGTTTAGAAATCAGGTGGAAGTTCATTATGTGGAGATGCACGCAAGCTAACATTTGGGCAGCGGATTGTAAATCACCTGCTGGGTTTGAGCCCCCCAAACCATCGATACTCTGTTCCTGTAGAATATCTATTGGGGTCAGCGAAGTGTGATTCTCTTCAGTCTAGCAGATCACATATGAAAGCAGGCAGATCCTGCTCATGGGGACATGTATGTAGTAGTTAGTGTGTCTAACTGAATGATGGGGTTTGGATCACTGGAAAAAATCCAATCAGCTGCCTTGTGAGATGAAACTGATTCTTTTGCATGCACTAGTCCAAATTTTAAGGTGTGAAATTCACTTTGCCTATTGTTAAATTGCACTAATATCCAATTTTTGATGAAGGCATTAATTGAATGTTTATTTTAAATAGGAGATTGTTGATCACCGACGGCAAGGAGCTTCTAGTATCCAAACTGGAGATCAGCGAGGAAGAAAATTTGTGAAACGTTTAGTTGATATTAGAGAACTCAATGAGCAAGCTAAAGTTATTGACGACTTAAAGTAAGTTGGGTTTTGCTTTAACTCACACAAAGTTTGGGAAGAACAAACTGCAGATGAGTTTTTCCTTTTCTGTTCTTATCGCGTATCTTGTGGCATTGTCATGGTCAAGTGGAAATCATTGTCTTTATTTAAAAATAAAAAAATGTCCTTTTGGTTTCCATAAGAAAAAATTATATATGCAATTACTCTCTCAAATTTCTCAAGTTGTTCCCCAAGTGTTAAAATAGTCTATATTCTTTCTGGTTTTGCATTACAATGGCTGATCATAATCAATTTCCTGTTGATTCAAAATCATAGTTCCATCTTGATTTATTATCATGGTGATTAGCAAAATATATTACTTTGTAACTGTAATAAACTTAGTCTTATTCACTGGGAGAAGAAGAAAAATATTTCAATTGACTATTTTTGCATCTTGTAGGTACTATTTTAAAATTAAATATCCTATGCTGACTTGAGAAAACCCTGAAGAAAGAATTCTTTCAAATTTCATAAATTGTATCTGAACAACTTCTGTTGTATTAATAATTTTTCACAGTCATGGTTTGTTGGGCTTGCTTCCCCTCCTCCCCCACCTAAGACAGACTGACTATAAATGGATCTGTCTGGGATGGGAATACAGAGCTTGATAATTACGTGTTAAATAATGAAGAGGAGACGTGTTATTGCTTGTACTTGGAATAAAATTGCTGTCACCATTCACAGGGCAATTGTATCTGAACTTTGGAATTTAGGTTAAATGATTCTTCTAATACAAGTTCAAGAATCAAAATTATGTTTTGTGCCTGCCTTTTCTCAGTTTATGAATGTTTCGGTAAACTTTGATTCTTTCAAAATAGCAGTTGCTTTACAGAGTGTTTTAAAGCGGTGTGTTTTTTCAGCAGAAGGTAATCTGCTACAGAAGGCTGTCATTGGTGTGACAGGACTTTGGACTGTTACAGTAGAAGGATTTTTCTTCATCCTGCTGGGGATTCTCGGATTTGTCCATTATGTTTGTTTTTAATTAAACAGCTTTCATGTGATTGAAAGTGTGTAGGAGGTCCTTAATCTAGTTGTGACAACTAGGGCTTTTTGAAATGAGAGAGTTGCTGCACAGCCATTCTTATTCTTCACCTTAGCATCATGGTAGCACTGTTGTTTGGGGGTCTCCTTGCATGCTAATTTGTTCTACATCCTCTCTCTGCTCTGCTAAGACACTTGGAGGCAGAAACCTTAAAATCAAAGAGTCCTCTTAAGGACAAAATATTATACCTGACAAAAAGTTGTATCATGGAACAAGAATAAATCTTCTGCAGCTATGTTGGGCACTGGTCATAAGTAACTACTGAAAAAAATGAGAAAATGGGATAATTCCCAGGGAAAGCAGAACATCATTGCAACACAGATTTTTTGAAATGGTGAAAATAATGTCACCTATTTGTAAGATAACTCAACCATGATTTATCCCCAGAAAATTAGGTGCAAGTGAAGGAACTATAAATCAAGAAATTCAGCGCTATCAGCAACTGGAGTCGGTGGCTGTGAATGATATCCGCCGAGACGTTCGTAAAAAGCTACGTAGATCCAGTATGAGGGTGAGCAGTATTAAGTTACTTTAAAAAATGATAGCACTTGCGTTGCATATTTCTTTTCTGCATGTTGATTAAAGCAAAGAAAATGTTAGTAATGCAAAAGGAAGGTTAAGAATATCAAATAGTTCAGCAGCCCCTTTACCTTCAGGAGAGGGCAGGGAAAGGTTTTTCTCCCTTGTAATAATGGCAATAGGAAAATTGAAATTTCACAGGTACTGTAATGTAAATGGGTTTATTTGCACACTCACAGGAAATAGTCAGAAAATGTGTATTTGAAGATGTCATTCACTCCTCCTCTTAGCAGATTTTAACATGATTCCTTATTGGACTGATGAATGCAGAGGCAAGCATGTTAACTGCCTGGGCAAGTGGCAGATACCTATTGTATTCTACCTGGCATGTGTGCTTTCTATAAGCGTGTTTTATGTATAAAGATTTGCAGAGATAGGTGATGTAAAAATAAAACCAAGCTACTAAGGATAGATGCTAGAAGAAACTGGACAAAAAAACCAAGCAGTGTTGCTGGCAATCCACAAACATACGTGGCTGTTGTCCCAGACCTGATAACAAACCTGGCAAAACATGATTTTCAGTGTGTCCTAGTGCGTGAGCTCCAAGTATGATGCTTCGTTAATAAGGAAAGAGCTTTCAAATAGTAATCTGTTTGCAGCTCTTTCTCAGGTGTTCTCATTTTAGTTCATGTTCTTCTGTTACTGTAGTGGTAGGTACAGTGGTAGGTAGGTAGGTACAGTGGTAGGTAGGCAGGCTGTCAAAGCGGTCAGATTATTAGCTTCGGGCACACTTTTCTCCTGGCAACAGGACATTACCAATTCCAGCAAGTGTGAAAAGTGAACATGTCTTCAGAAGCAAAATGAAGATGCTGGCAAATGCTGATAATGAGATGTATTTTAACTATTATGGAACAAAAAAATCTTTTTCCTTTACTGGCACGCCTGTGTGAAATAGTATTTTAGGTTGCCAGAGTTTTTCTCTGGTGTTGTCAGTGTTGCATTTAAATATTATTTTGTTTTAGGCTGCCTCCTTGAAAGACAAATGGGGTCTCAGCTACAAACCCAGCTATAGCCGATCTAAGAGTATTTCAGCATCAGGAAGACCACCTCTGAAGAGAATGGACAGAACAAGGTAAGCTTCAGGGAATTTGAGATCTGTGATAGCAACAACAGCATATGTGATAGAGGAAACATTGGACTTTGGCCCTAAGAGTCCTTTTACTAGAGGCAGCAGCTATATGTGGTGGAACTGGGTAGGAGGAGGTCATTTTGGAAGACAGGCTGTTGTGGTTTAACCCCAGTCGGCAACTAAGCACTACACAGCCACTCGCTCACCCTCCTCCTCCTCCTCAGTGGGATGGAGGAGAGAATCGGTGGGGGGGGGGGGGGGGGGAGGAAGTAAAACCCATGGGTTGAGATAAAGGCAGTTTAATAGGACAGCAGAGGAAGAGAAAGTAATAGTAACAATGATGATGATAAAAGAATATACAAAGCAAGTGAGGCACAATGCAATTGCTCATCACCCACTGGCCGATACCCAGCCAGTCCCCGAGCAGCGATCGCTGCTCCCCGGCCAACCCCCCCCAGTTTCTATACTGAGCATGATGCCATATGGTATGGAATAGCCCTTTGGGCAGGTTGGATCAACTGTCCTGGCTGTGCCCCCTCCCAGCTTCTTGTGCACCTGGCAGAGCATGGGAAGCTGAAAAGTCCTTGACTAGCATAAGCAGTACTCAGCAACAACTAAACCATCAGCGTGTTATCAGCATTCTTCTCATCCTAAATCCAAAACACAGCACTATGCCTGCTGCTAGGAAGAAAATTAACTCTGTCCCAGCCAAAACCAGGACACAGGCATGCTCTAAAAAGCAACTTTTCACTTTTTTTTTTTAAACTTCTTTTTGACAGACTTAATAGTTTTTCAAATGAGGAGAAGTTTCCACTTCTACAAGAACGTAGGGTTTTTTACAGAATCCTGCTTTCAAGACATACTGAAGAAACATACATAAGGAAAAATGGCATAGTGTAATCGTTTCGATTTCTACACTTGATTTGCAATGATCTGCCTTAAAAAAGGGCTGTTGTAATGAGAAGAAGAAATGGAGATTCTTTGTGAATGATAATTTTCTTTTAATCTCTTCACCTGTATAACATGTATTGGTTTTGTTTTCCTCATTTAATGGCTGCTGAGCAAACTGTAGTTGTATAATGATGCCTCCTAGTAAAGTGTTTGCTTTGGTTTTAGAATACGTGTGTTTGAGTCTATTGCTGCTGTAGATCCAGCTGAAGCATTCAAAGTTTGGAATAAAAAATGTGCTGCATTAAATGTAAAAGAATTGAAAATGAAAAAGAGGAGTGTTAGAATTCTTTGGACTTTTTTCTGTGATAACAGAAATTCTTAATAGAAATTCGCTTCAAATTTGAATACTTCGGTAGAATTGAATGGAAATTTATAGATAATCCAGATGTGAAAATATCAGACAGCAGATATTCCAGCATAAAAACAGCTTTAAAAGTACTCGAGTGAATTTTTCAAGGTGCCCTTGAAAAGGAATCTTTCTTGTGAATTAATTAGCATTCTTGATAATTAAAGCAGAGGAAGTGTTGAAGGCATGAAGGTTCTAGTTCAAGATCTGTCAGATGAAAACCACTTTCATTTTACCTTTTCACAAGGTCACCTGAAGTGAACCAGAAATTGTATGGAAAAGATAATGGTTTTTTTCTGTTGCTCTATAAAAACCACAAAGTACTGAAAAACTTAATGAGTACTTTGGTTGTGAATGAAGAGTAGTATGCATATGCTATAAGGCCAAATAATTCATTTCAGTTGCATCAGAGAATACATCATCTGCCAACTTGCTCTGTCCCGTGTGGTGGATCACAAAGATCTTATTTTTCTGTAATTTCTGCATTTTGGCTCAGGATTGAAAAACTTGCATAAAGAAATAAGCAGAGATTGGTTAGCGATAGACTACTGGCCAAGTAAATGCGTAGCTTCCTTCTCTTTCCTTCTGCCCTTCCTTTTCCCTTTTCATACACCCTAAGTGCTTCAATTATGCTTTTATACCTTCTTCCACAACAATGTCTTAAGTACTTTTTTATTGCCTTATATTTGTGTAGGTAAATGCACGAACGTAAAATCCTGTAGTAAAACTCAACAAGCTGTTGTGTTTTGGTTTTGCTTACAGCTCTCGACTAGGAGACAGTGAAGACCTCCCAGATATCCGTGTAGATGCTGCATCTCCTGGGCCAAGAGTAACCTTCAACATACAGGATTCTGTAAGAATTGCTTTATATACCCTATAATTATATTTTCTCTGCCATTTGGTCACAAGTTCATGAGACAGGTATACCTAGGCAGACATGAATTGCTTGTATGTTTTTGTGTGTCTATTTCTGTTAGTGTGTGCATCAAATTGTGGATGTGGTTTTGGAGGTTAGATTTGTTTTGATAGAAGACAGATGTGTTTTGGTTTCTTAACACAGAAATTAATTGAATCATTAGAGAAAATATTTGAAAATGGTAATTTTTTTTTTTTAGGCTGACACAGTAGTAACACAGTTGTTTTGGAATTTTTATCAGAAGTATGCAAAAAATCATCTAGTATTTTTTGTGTTTGAATATATTTAGAGTTTTGGAAATGGGTATTAGTTTGCTGTAGCCCTACAGGTATATCCTTCTGTGTGTTTGAAATGGATTGTTGAATCTTTGGTTTTGTTTGTTGCTATGTTTTCTCATTTTTAAAATGTTCCTATTCTGTTGTTTTTGCATGGCTGAGATTATTGTAATTGTTTTAATTTATATATTTTTTTCACTTCTAATTAAGTTGAATAAAACATCTTGGGGGATTGCACAACAATCCAGCTCTCCAGGGGAAGGGTATTTTCAGGTATTTCTCAGAAGAAACAAGTATTCTTTGCCAGAGAACTAATTTATCTCACAGGGAGCTGCTTTTCAATGTTTCATCTCTTTTGCACTCAGCTAAACAGAATGTATATCAAATTTGAAAATATTTAAATTAAAATACGTAGAGTAAGCAGAACACGATTGATTGACGAACTTTCCAGAGTGTTTCTACACCCTTACATAGACCTAAAACTTGCTAGGTTTTGTAAAATGAATTGTTGGAATTTTGTTTGTATATTTATGAAAACAGATCAAGGCTGATATAAAGTGATGTGAGTCTAGCCTTGAAATGTGCTTTAGAAGAGGATTTTAGTGTGTGTGCCTTCATCTGTTACATTGTGTTCCAAGATTGCAGGCATCAACACCAGTACAAAATAATTGCTAGGTGGGAGGACATCTTCTCACTCTTTTATTTGTTGGAATTCCTATATTTAATGCAGAGTAATTACTAATTATATTAATCACTAAACTAAAAGTGAGTAGGGAATGCGCCAAAACTTAATACCCAGAGAAGAATTGGTGGAGTTTTTTAACTGCTTTAAAAAACATGTTTAGGGAAATAGTAAAGAATTTTTTTTTCCCCCTTAAAAAAACCTTAACCAAAACCAAAAAACAAACCAACAAAAGCAAAACAAACACAACAAAACAAAAAAACAAACTCCAGAGATAGCAATGTACTTTTCTCCCTTCCAACTCACCTCACGCTCCCAGGAAATAAATTCCTAATTCTGAGAGAGGTGGAAATGAAACATAGAAACAGGCTTTGCACACTTAAATATGTTCGCATTTAAAAGCTATCCTAGCTTTTGTTGTTGTTGTTATATATAAGCCCAGTTAGCTTAAGTTTTGCTGGCATAGCAAAATGCGATGAAACACTTAGAGGTATCAAATGTTGAATATTAAAAAAAAAAAACCACACCAAACCAAAAAAACCCCAAACCCAAACATCTTACTGACATTATATAATGCCAGTTCTTCAGTAGAGCTCTAATTTGAATTTGCAGACGATGGCTGGGTAGCTCTGTAGTAACACTGTGTAGGCAGTGCTGGTGTTACCACTTCTAGATATTTTTCACAGGCGTTTTAAGAAGTTAATGTTCAAAAATGGCTTGTGTGGTGCTTGTGGTGTGCTTTATATGAGAAACAGGAGGCCCCTTTTGGAAATTCGGCCTGAAGTTCGTTTTGCATTAAAGCGTGTGCGCCCAAGAGCGCAGCCCAGAACTGCGAACCGGTGCCGTACATTCTGTGTTAGCATTCTGCATGCGCGCCTCACTAACGCTCCCGGGTGCCTCACCCCTCTACAAGGTTCATGACGACTTTTGCTGTCTTTTGTTCTTTTCTTTCAAAATATTTTTCAAATTTATATGAAATGTTACCATTCCTTCTGATTGTGTGAATCGGTCAGAGCATGATACATATGTAGCCAACAGATTGAGCTCAATCACTAGGCAGTGGCAAATGTCTCCCCACCAAGCTTTCATTTCTTTCTTTTTCATAATCCGCCTTGCAGTTTCTACACCTGCTGCCCCTGTATTATGAGGAACTTCAGAGTGAGAGTTTCTCATAGCACTCTTGCTTTTTTTTATTTCCAGAGCTATCTAATGCATTCTCGATGGAAACGGTATCTGTGAAAATTTAATATCTCTTTGTCTTTTTATAATCAGTTTCCAGAGGAGACAGAAATGGACCTTTTGTCCGTAACTATTGATGGTCCCTCCCATTACTCATCTACTAGTGAAGGCTCATGCTCGGTATTTGGTTCACCCAAAACTCCAGTAGTCTTCTCACCCGGCATTCCCTTCCAGCCTGAAGAAGGACGCCGGGATGACAGCTTATCATCAAGCAGTGAGGACTCCGAGAAGGAGGATGACCATGAAAGAGAGAGGACATATTTTTATAGGAAACCACCGTAAGTAATGGTCCTAAGGAAGAACACAGAAATTAAGAAAATACACTTGAAATATTGACTTTAAAGCTACAAAACCTGTTACTGATGAAGGATTGAATTTTGCCTGAAGTGTGTATGTGGAAGGCAGGGGAGGTTGTGTTCGGCAGAGGTGACTGTGACGGAAGGAGGAATTCTGATCTGAAAAGGAGGCAACTTAGAAATTTCAGGGTTTGGAAGAGAATAAAAGAACGCAGAAAGCAAGATTTTTGAGGCATGTGGCAGGTTTAAGTGGGACCAAATGACAAGATTTGTTCTTGTCTTGTCTTGTTCAATATCAATATCTTTATCAATGATCTGGATGAGGGGATCGAGT